TAATGACACCAGGAAGTGTAGCGTACAACTATAACCAGAAGTCTCTGTCGAGACTGAAGCTCTACTGGTTTGTACTTATAGCAAAGGAAGAGAAAAGTACTTAAGCAGTTGGAAATTGAAACTTTTCAACAGCAATAAATAGAATAATGATCCTTGATTAAGTCTTAATGATCCTTGATTAAGTCTCTTTATGTTCTTAGTGCAGTCTACTTGCATGCCACATTTATATTATAATCAGACTAAAATTGTATTTGGAGTAGCATTTTGAAAGAATTTCACAGAAATTTCTATTTTTAGTAACCACGGCAACACCGTTCATCGAAATCAAAAACCGATACACAGAATTATGTATCTTATTGTAGTCTACTTGTGTGCCAAGTTATATTGAAATCAGACTAAAACTGTAGAAGGAGTAGCATTTTGAAAGAATTTCACAGAAATTTCTATTTTTAGTAACCACGGCAACACCGTTCATCGAAATCAAAAACCGATATACAGAATTGTGTATCTTAGTGTAGTCTACTTGTGTGCCAAGTTATATTGAAATCAGACTAAAACTGTAGGAGGAGTAGCATTTTGAAAGAATTTCACAGAAATTTCTATTTTTAGTAACCACGGCAACACCGTTCATCGATATCAAAAACTGATACACAGAATTATGTATCTTAGTGTAGTTTACTTGTGTGCCAAGTTATATTGAAATCAGACTAAAACTGTAGAAAGAGTAGCATTTTGAAAGAATTTCACAGAAATTTCTATTTTTAGTAACCACGGCAACACCTTTCATCGAAATCAAAAACCGATACACAGAATTATGTATCTTAGTGTAGTCTACTTGTGTGCCAAGTTATATTGAAATCAGACCAAAACTGTAGGAGGAGTAGCATTTTGAAAAATTGTTTAAGAATTACAGATACCAGTAGAGCTAAAAATTAAGAAAGATAACTCCAAGTAGTCAAAATAATTTCTTTTCTTTCAATAAATGGTCTTATACATGATTTAATAAACATGTAAACAGCTCACATAACACAATACACAAAATATCAAGTAAAAATCTTAAAATCAGGTAAAAAGATTAGAAAAATGGTCTTATGGATCGTGTAAAACAAGCAAAGTTTGTTAAAATTATGCATAATCATACAACAAAGTAAAAGATCAAATCTTCACACTAATCTTATTTAAGAATCATGTACACACACCAGTGATTTGCAATAAAATATTTCTTTACTTAACTAGCATTACACTACTTCAATCAACATTAAGGTACTCCGATTCTCAGGTTCTGAAAATTAGGCATTGGCTAACATTGAAAATGCTCACAAGAATGTCTCTGAATTTTCAAAGTATAAATGTGTTTTACCCATGATAATTCTTCAAACTTTATCTTGATAATTAATCATATTATATAGGCAAATTTAGTAAATCTCACATAATTTTTCAGGAAATGCAAATATAAACACCTATTATACATTTTCCAATTCAGGTTTGATCAACAAACACATTTTAGTATTAAAAACCATAGGTATCCAGGCTTTTGAAGAAATTGCATAATTTTAATACATATAAGGTACTTTAGTTTCTTCTATTTACTTTGATGATTTTACAATGCAAAATGTAAAAAGACTTTCCTATCATTGCAAAATACCACAAATCACTTCTTGTTTCATATCATGTTAATAAAAATTGGTATTTATGATTAGATTTAAAAAATACTCAATTTCTTTCAATATGTAATTTTAGAACACTTCTACTGGATAGAAATTTCGACTTTTTATAATACCTCTTGTTGCATGAAAAGATTCAATTTTCAAGCTTCACTTTGGGACTTTTTGAATTTAATTATATATCTAAGAGTTATCCTTCCTGGCTGAGGATCGGAGTACCTTAACAAGAAAAACAGGGAACAAGTAAATGGCAAAAAAGTTACAAATAAAACATACACAAAAACACAAGTACCAAAATATTTAACAAACAAGTATGGGTTACAATATGTATTCTTTTGATCTCCCCGAATCTCTCAGGATCATAATTAGTACATACACACTGATGTAATGATATTTAGAACACATAATCTGGTGTTTGTCTTATTTTCTTATTCTTTCTTAGAGTTCATAATCTTTCCACAGGCTGAAAATATAAAAAAACTTATTTTATTGAAATAAATTGCTGTTAATTATTTTAAAACATACTTAGTACAACAATAGTGAAAGCATTCTATATGTAGTCATAACAAAACAGTGATTAAATTTAATACAATCTTACCACAATGTGTATTCCTCTTTGTCTTCATTTTTCAGAAGAATGTCCCTGACCTCTTCTGGGGGGTTAAGCCCATGCTTCTGGGCCCTTTCCCATCTTTCCAAACGTGTAATTCCTATTGATTGATAGAAAAAATAAATTATGTCAAAATTCTTTGTTAATGAAATGTGAGGGCCATGCTTGTTGTCAATGCATGTAAAATATGGATAGAAAGAGTGGGAATCAATGAAAGATAGAGGGGGATAAGGCTCAAGGGCATTAACACTTATATTAGCTCAAATTTTATCTCACTCTAGCTTTTACAAAAGGAATATTTGGTGGAAAAGTGAGACTGAGATCAAAAGTGGGTTCATCTAAGTTTCAAGGTCCCAAAGCTATATCAAACTTAGGCAATAAGTTGGAGAAAGTCAATAATGGAACATTTATTAAATGAAGCATTGATTATCTACCAATACTTATCAGTTGATAGGAGGTGCTTCTTCAGGAAACTTGTTTTACCACATTTATATTTCATCAAATTCATGTAAACACAGATAAAGAACTACAAACTCTAACTCTTGATTCCCGTCTACAATTTGCACCCATTAAATTCAATATTAATGGCAATTTGGCCATTAAATCTTTGTTTAATACAAAGAACAGTTCTATGGTAATTGTTTAATTATTAAATTTTTAATTCCAGCGCTAGATAGTAAATTATCATTAATTCCAGCTCTTGAAAGAAGGGGGGTAGACGATATTTTCTAGTGAAATCGAACCTTCAAGAATCACCGTATTTTGAAATAGTCTTAAAGATGATAAAATGTATCTCATATCTTTTCTTATGTTTTACGCAAATAAATACAACATATATAAATTAATAAAATACAATTATTAAGTTGTAAATAGCTTTAAAATTGGTGAAAAATCAGCATTTTTTTTCGTTTTTTGTCTACAAACATATGTCCCCCCCCCCCTGTGAAACACAAAGAGCTTTGGCATAAATTTGTAAAATGACAGTCCATATTACCTGTTGATTTCTATAGTTAAAAACACAAGTTTTACCAAAATTATAGAGTTATCTCTCTTTGGTATCCAAAATAAGTAACGTTTTATGAAAATTCATGTAAATATCTATAAAAATTTTGAAAATCATTCGAATATGTTAACTTTTGAGAATTGACTTAGAGGTAGGCGGGAGAACAATACTATCGTTCACGGTTCATAGTTCTTTTGATATCTCCATCACCAGTTACTTATATTATACCAAAAACGAAGTTGGAAGGACCAAAATATGTATTCTTTAAGTTTTTGCCCTCAATAAAGTAAAAAAAATAAAGTTATTTCTCAGTCTCATAGAGTTTGAGACAACAAAGTTTGACTGTATGTCTAAAAAATAATATTTACAATTACCTGTGCATGGTCCATATTCTAGGGTCAGGTCAAAGTTCTTCAACATTTGTAAATCATCTGTAAGGTCAATTACAGGTAAGTCTTGCTTACTGGTAGATGGAACCTGGTCTGAATGTTGGAAAAAAAAATTTTATTAACAGGCAATTTGCAAAGAAAATTATTTTCAATCATCTAGACAAGAGCTCATAGGACCCATTGCTTTCGCCTTTTTTCTCTCTCTTTCTCTTTGAATTCTTATAGTGATAACACCTCACATGGATTTTAATCCATCCTCCAACTCTTCTACAAGTCTTAGTCAGTTTCAATAACAGATCAACCTAATACCTACTGTTGAACGATATTTTCTTTTATTATAAAAAAAAAAAAAACCAAACCAAAACATAAAAAAAAACAGCAGACATGCTGTCTGATGCTGGTAGATGAAGACTACCTGGGTATGTCTATGTGGAGAGTCTCATTTTTCATCATCCCGGGCCTCCACCATTCATATACACTTAGTTCTTTGGCATCACCTCACATTCACCACTGAATACAAAGTTTTTCCAAAAACAAACTAACCAACCATGCCAACAGTTTCTTGTTTTTTATGATTACGCTTGTTTATCCCTTGTGACTAATTCATGACAAACTAGTATCTTCCTACATTGCCTCTGTTAGAAATTTTTTTTTTACAGTTCTTTGAAATACTCTTCTAGGATATAATAACAGTATTTTTTCTAAATAAAATTCTTCAACATTAATTATTTTAACAAAGTAGAGACATTGGCCACTCTCAAGGGGTTTCTTGTGCTAGTAAATCTTTGATGAGGCTAACAACTTTTATCACAGGTCAACCCTATGTGTCACTAAGTAGATAATTTTGAGACAATGGTTTATCAAAATACAAACACAGTTAGAAATTTACATTGTGCCATTTATTTGCAGTCCTTTAGCTTATGGCACGGGCACTGGAAGTTAATATAAATATATAGTATGTGTATGTATACACTCACTATATATTTACATTAACTTCCAGTGCTTATGGTGAAACAAACGACACCCACCTTTAGCAAGCTTTTGGTCTTTATTGGCTTTTTTAACCTTTGGAAATGAGTCTGTTATCTGTTTTGTAGCCATAATGAGAAGATAATCTTTGTGTTTGTGTGCTGACAACAAAGTTTCATTCACAATCTTGAACAATTTGCGTCACTTCCGGTTTGCTAATTTTGCACAATCTTACATGTAACTTTTCGTGAATCAAATTTTGGTATAAATGTTAAAAACCACACGTAATTGCTCTTTTATAAAATACAATTTATGTAACAACCAAAAATCTCTGTGTATCTGTGGGAAACTTCCGTTTTTTTGTTCCTTCATGGGAAAGAAATCGATAATGAAGTAATGTGCATGCGCATTGGCACGAAAGGAAATCAAGCGATTTGTGAAGTCCTCCCAAAGAGGGGTCTGTAGTTCAGGCCCAGTGATCTTTCGAAGCTTTAATCCAAATCAGCACCGTTATTTCGGTAATATAGCGTAATGTTTTCTTCTTCTTGTATAGGTAGTTTAAACAGACGTTCAGAAGGTCATTCAATTCAAGCCACTAATGTAAGATGGCGGGTTAGCTTTGCATAATTTTATGCAGATATTTTGTTGAATAAATGGTACTGCATGAGATGTCGTGATAAGTCATTTGTTTTAAAGTAATAATGCTTCCTCACATTTAATTTTGAAGTACACCATCGTGAGCTTTACATATTAAAAGTCTACAGTCTGACATGTTGATAACAGTCCTTTTTATAAAATCATAATCAGATGATTAGATATAAGGAATAAATCAATTCATATAAAGGGTAGGGCTTTCATATCATATATTGTTTGTTTATTTCTCAAATAAAGTAAAAATCTACTAATCATTTATAAATATCAAGTTTACTATTGTGTGTACAATTTCTACTTTTATGGGATTGTTGAATATGTTTCAGTTTTTACCATGGATTGGCAGTACTCTACTTAATATTAATATTCGAGTGTATTGCGGTTCTTTGACTGAAACTTAGTGAAAGTATCCTATTGTGATATTTTTTTTCAGTATTCATTTACTGGCCAAATACTTGGGCTTGGGATTTCTAAAGTAACATTAGAAATTTAAGATGTCAGAGAGTTTTCAGTCATGCCAGACTGTAAAGTTGTTCTGTGGTTGGATTGCTGTGCAAATATGTAGTTAAATCAACACAATTTTTTTTATTGACAATGTACTTATCATAGTTATATACTAAATGTTTAGGAATGAAGGTTAATAAAGTATTAAAAAAAAATGGCTTATCCGCATGTTTATACTCAATTTGTTTACACACACCATTGCAGTTGTGAGACTATATCTTTCAAAAAAATGTTTTATTGCTTAAATATGAAATTCCCAACCAATATCCAGCCATTGGTATTACAAGTGATGTCACAGAATGAGTTAAGATCAGTATATAATTGATTTTAAAATCTTAGGCCTAGAAAAAAAGTATGTTTGTTTCCGCTTTCAGGCTGAAAAAATATAGGGTAGGTCGGTAGGCAAATTTTTTTTTTTTTGAAAATTATTTTTACTTCTTTAATCAAAAGTAGAAGTAGAAGTATCATTAATGACAAAAGAAATGGTGTTTTCAAGCATTTCTGTGACTTAAACTTATAATAGAAAGGTGACTCAAACTTCTTTCTGTCTTGAAAAGCTTCCGAAGTTGGAGTTAATTCCCTGGGTGAAATCTTGCACTACATGTATATAAAAAATTTTTTAGATTTTAAAATATTTTTTTTCTAGGCCTTATTATTATGTCATCTTTAATGCATATCCTCAATTTTATTTTAGGTTGCAAAGAAAATGAATTAAAAAAAGACCCCTATTACTTCTCCTGACAAGTTTCGGAATAACATACACATGCAAAAATGGTTTTATCTCAAAGACAAAAGGATGAATTGTAAGTACACAACCTCCACAATTAAGAATAAAAGACTTTTTTTAAAAGTACAAACATTTCATTTATTTCCTGAAATAACTTTGTTTGATGAATATATTTGATAATTTATTTAACCAGATATAACTTCAAAACACCTGTGTCTCATACTAAGTGCCTACCTTAAAACTTAAAATATATTTTATAATGTATAATATGTTATATCTTTGTAGAAACAGAGCTATAGCTGATTACCTTAGCTCCAATGGGTATCTATCAGCTCTAGGTGAATTTCAAAAAGAAGCTAGTCTGGTAAGGCTCAATTTAAATTCAGGTGTTGTTGAATTTTGGAATATACTGTAATTTATTCCACTGATCTGGCATTCAATTACTAATTTCTAAAGGAATAAAAGGTTTGCTAAATCCCTTGATGAAAATAAAATGACATTTAGAATTTAAGCGTTTCACCTTATTAACTGTCTTTGCAGCCAGGAGATATAGATAAAAAGTATGGTGGCTTACTGGAAAAGAAATGGACATCAGTTATCCGCCTACAGAAAAAGGTTCAAAGTTACTGTATGGAAAATGCACTGTAATATGAGAAAACCGAGAGGGCATAAAGCAGTTTATTTGTACATGTATCCATGTAAATGTTTGTATGTAACAAATAACAATATATTTTAGGTCATGGACCTGGAAGCAAAACTGTCCGAGGCAGAGAAGGAATACAATGCCGGGGGTCCATCTAGGGATCGCCGCAGCCCTTCGGAATGGATACCACGACCCCCAGAACGCTACACCCTGAGTGGTCACCGAAGCCCAGTGACCAGGGTGGTGTTTCACCCAACCTACAGTGTCATGGTATCGTCCAGTGAGGATGCTACAATTAAGGTGCATAATTAAGTCGATTTTATATTATGATCTTTTATTTTTGAATGTTGTTATGATTAAGCTTCAACATCTGATTACACAATTTTGTCATTAAACAGATCTGGGATTATGAGACAGGCGATTATGAAAGAACTCTAAAAGGTCATACAGATACTGTGCAGGACATTGCCTTTGATCATACTGGGAAGTTTTTGGGTAAGATATGATAATAGAAATGTTTACAACGAGACGAAGGAATACACCGCAAGAAACCAGGAAGCAAAATGTAATTTTATATTTTTGTCTTCTTTTCAGCATCGTGCTCTGCTGATATGAAAATTAAGTTGTGGGACTTCACTTCTTATGAATGTGTCAAAACACTCTATGGTATGTTTGTCATTTGATATTATCACAATATATACTGAAAGGAAAAAGAAACGCATATTTTACTTTTAAATTAAATTAAAACTATTACATGTATTTCGAAATTGTTTTCCAGTATTGTTATCAAACATTTTAATTCATCTATAATCTACAAGTTACCAAAACCTTGTGTGACTTTGACTGATAATTCCTGAGTTATTGAAATTGATATGTCTATACCCCCCAAATTAAAATAAAAATTCTCATCATCTCCCTTGAACATTGGTAACAGCCTTGATTTTCCTGTGCACTGAGTTCACCAGAGCATTTATCTTTCTCATTTGATTATTATTCAACCCTTCCGGCAATAGTCTTAATGGTTGATAGTAGCTATATTATTCCAAAGCCAACAAATCCCCCCCGCCAAATGAGTGCCACGAATTTTTATTTTAGGATAGAATTTACAGAATCCAGCTGGTTTGAAAGTCTCGACAAACACTGGCTACATTTTTCCTGTATGAACATGCTAAAATCATTACGCACACGACGCGCAAGTGCGCGCATGAGAGTAAAATCGACGTTTAAGTCACCAAGTTCGCGGACCAAATTAGAGCAGAGAATTTCTGTCAATTTTAGGGTGAAAATATTGGTATGATAGTTTGCTGTATAAATATCGGTTTCAGTGATAATACCTTGACAATAACCGATGTGACATGATAAAAAGCCATGTCTTCATGTGACGTAGTTACGCGTCAACGTCACCGGGAAACCTTTTAATTTACTCTCTGACAACTGAAAAACCCTTTTTTGTTGAAAAGTTTAAAACAAACTGCACAGCAACATCTTGTTGCCTTTTCATTCACTTAGGCAATTCAATTACTGGAACCAGTGTAACTTCCGTCAGCCATACCATGATTGCACGAAATTTATACTGATTGCAAATGCGGAAAACAATGTCTATAACTCCAATGCATCAATTAGCACTGCAAAATGTGATCATAAAATTGTCATCATCAACATGCACGTGTTTTTGGCTTTTTATCATTTCCCCTACGTGATGCCATACATTTCATGGTTGAGTAGTTTTGACCAGCAATTTTAGTGCAAAGTAACAAAAATACATATATGACCAATTTTCATAATTTTCGGCCACATAGTCATTGATTTTTCGCATATTTTGTTCTTATGCGTTTCTTTTTCCTTTCAGTATATATTATAATCCCTATTAAAACCCCGGGCACTTAGAAAATTGCAAAAAGGGGGAGTTATTTTGGTATTCTCTTTATGATATTTAATGTCATATTTTAACTTCAAGAAAACTTTTGAAAAAAAATAGATTCAGAGAACAACTAAAAGATTGTCTAACTTTCCTTTAAGTTAAGATAATTTATGAAATTAGAAAGTAGACAAGGAGAATTTTTTATATATTTTTTTGTTTTCCTTATATTTAAATGGCAAAAAGTTGAACAAGCAGCATAACAGAAAATCTGGATAATTATACACCCCTTGTTTTCATTCGGTTTGAAAATTTATTCATTGCATGTATTTGTGTTAATATTACACTTGATATCTCAGGCCATGATCACAATGTGTCCAGTATTTCGTTTGTGCCAAGCGGAGATCATCTGGTTTCCTCTTCCCGAGATAAAACCATCAAAATGTGGGAGATAAGCACAGGGTAAGGAACGGAAATCTTATACGATTGGTCAAAGTGTTTAATGAAGAAAATCAAAAGGTTAACATACGTCAGTGGAGAATGCTTTTTAGCTCACCTGAGCCGAAAGCTCAATTGAGCTTTTCTGATCACATTTTGTCTGTAGTCCGTCTGTCTGTCTGTAAACTTTTCACATTTTCGACTTCTTCTCAAGAACCGCTGGGCCAATTTCAACCAAACTTGCCACAAAGTATCCTTGGGTGAAGGGGTTTCAAGATTGTTCAAATGAAGGGCCACGCCCTCATTCAAGGGGAGATAATTGGGAATTAATAAAAATTTGGTGGCATGTTTTAAAAATCTTCTCAAGAACCACTGTGCCAGGAAAGATGAAACTTATATGGAAGCATCCTCAGGTAGTGTAGATTCAAGTTTGTTCAAATCATGACCCCCGTGGTAGGGTGGGGCCACAATGGCCGACCAAAATTTTACATCGAAATATATAGGAAAATTCTTTAAAAATCTTCTTCTCAAGAACCACTGTGCCAGGAAAGATGAAACTTATATGGAAGCATCCTCAGGTAGTGTAGATTCAAGTTTATTCAAATCATGACCCCCGGGGGTAGTGAAGGGCCACAATGGCCGACCAAAGTTTTACATAGAAATATATAGGAAAATTCTTTAAAAACCTTCTTCTCAAGAATCACTGTGCCAGGAAAGATGAAACTTATATGGAAGCATCCTCAGGTAATGTAGATTCAAGTTTATTCAAATCATGACCCCCGGGGGTAGTGAGGGGCCACAATGGCCGACCAAAGTTTTACATAGAAATATATAGGAAAATTCTTTAAAAACCTTCTTCTCAAGAATCACTGTGCCAGGAAAGATGAAACTTATATGGAAGCATCCTCAGGTAGTGTAGATTCAAGTTTATTCAAATCATGACCCCCGGGGGTAGTGAGGGGCCACAATGGCCGACTATAGGAAAATTCTTTAAAAACCTTCTTCTCAAGAATCACTGTGCCAGGAAAGATGAAACTTATATGGAAGCATCCTCAGGTAGTGTAGATTCAAGTTTGTTCAAATCATAACCCCCGGGGGTAGGGCGGGCCAAAATGGCCAATTAAAAGTTTTACATAGAAATATATATGAAAATTCTTTAAAAATCTTCTTATCAAGAATAGGTCATAACTGATCATATTTATATGGAAGTATCCTCAGGTAGTGTAGATTCAAGTTTGTTCAAATCATAACCCCCGGGGGTAGGGCGGGCCAAAATGGCCAATTAAAAGTTTTACATAGAAATATATATGAAAATTCTTTAAAAATCTTCTTCTCAAGAATAGGTCATAACTGATCATATTTATATGGAAGTATCCTCAGGTAGTGTAGATTCAAGTTTGTTCAAATCTTGACCCCCGGTGGTAGGGCAGGGCCACAATGGCCAATCAAACTTTTACATAGAAATATATAGGAATTTTTTTCAAAAAATCTACTCCAAAATAGAAAAGCTATAATTGATCATATTTATATGGAAGCATCCTCAGATAGTGTAGATTCAAGTTTGTTCAAATTATGACCCCCGGGGGTAGGGCGGCGCCAAAATGACCAACCAAAGTTTTACATAGAAATATATAGGAAAATTCTTTAAAAATCTTCTTCTCAAGAATAGCAAAGCCATGATTGGTCATGGGACTACTTTAAGATTTAAACTTTTCAATAATAAACCAATTTCTACTATTTCCTAGCCACAGTGCTCAGGTGAGCGATGTGGCCCATGGGCCTCTTGTTCAATTCATGGGAGTGTAATTAACGTATCGCCAGCTGTCAATCACAACAAATTTTCAACCAATGAAATAATTTCGCTTATTCTGCGCGTTCAGTAAAAACTTGCTCCGCCACATGCTCCGACAAACACTCTCAGTGGGTTGAGTGGTCGACAATAAACAAATTGAACAAATAAGTCTATGATGGTTAAAATATGCAGTTTGGGAACGTGCAATACCGATGACAGATATCCCGAAAGGGAATTATGGATGTTTCGGGACCGCCATGCTTTGGGACGCCGACGTTTCAAGACCTGACAACACATTTCGGGACTTGAGTTTACACAGTTTGGGACCTCTAAATATTTTGGTCAGGAAATGAAATAAAACTCGTTTACTTGTTTGTTATGTTTATACATGTATACTTTCTTAGTTTGATACACAAAAACCGGTATAAATCCATGCACAGTATACATGGTATAGAGATTCATTTGACAGACTGTCTTTGCGTTAGAAATAAAAAAATACGAAAATTCGTAATATGAATAATAGAATACATGTATGCTTAATCAGTTCATAACACTTCTACGTATGTGCATGTTTTGCCCTCAAAATAATTGTCAAAATACATACACATTTTAAAAGAGAACTAGATACGCTTTTTGAGTTTTTAATTTTACATTTATCGTGTTGACTTGTGTCTGAAAGTTAACGGTTTTTATTACCAGTTATTATTGCATATGCAGGATTAAGTTTATAAACTTTTATTTTTCACTTTTTAAAAAAAATAAATTCGAATTAATCTACATATTAAAAATGATTCTATTTATCGCTAAAAATTATTTTTTAATTACCACCCCCCCTCCCACTTATTACTAGCATTTTTAAATTTATTAAGAACACCATCATGTATTGGCAACATATCGAAATTATTTAATAACTTCATTTTTTATATAAAGACATACATTGTCATTACCGGTATTATAACCAATATCTGTAACGAATTAGTCCGACTTTGTTATATGAGGGTTGTCCCAGAAAAACACGAACTTTGTATATTAGATTTGTATACATAATATATATCTGACCAAAATTATTCAAAATCTTCATGCACTACTCTCTATTATTGCTTAAAAGTGCTCTCTATTATTGCTTAAAAGTGTGCACATTTTCCACCAGAACTTAAAGGTAAAGAAGAAAGTTTTTTCCAGAGTTGATATTATCGGCGTCCGAGAGATTTATGGAATGACCATTTGATTCGGGAAGGGGAGAGGGGCTTGCATTTAATTTTTTTCAAAGACAGAGTCAGATTATTTATTGTCATGTCGGTGAAGGACGGATTATTTATTTCCAATGGCATATTATTTATTGGCCGCTTCACTGAAAATGTCTAACAAGCCAAAAAAAAGGGGGGGCGCCGTCGACAACCCAAGATTATTGTGGAGGTGGTGTGGGCATATTATTGATTTTCTTCCATTTGAGGAAATATTTATTTCCAAAACTGATTCAGCATTCAAATCCTTTATCAGCCAGACACCCCCTTCAGAATCAAAGGATTGTCCCCTTATAGATAGGAACTAAAAGCATGTCTTGACAATGTCGTATGGGTTTTGTATATTATTGCTGATTTAATAAAATTATTAGATTACAAATTGAATGAAAGGTCGTTGTCTTAATTTATCATTTACATGCACCCACATTTGCAGTCGCAATGTGCTTCTGTCTTCGTCGACATGGATGTTTACAGTATGAGGGAACTCAGACTTCATCATGCTTCGATAAACTTTCCCAGAAAGGGATAATACGGAATCATTTTTTAATATTTTAAGTGAATGAAATATATGAAAGCTTTTACAAAAGCATTTGCCCTTTGTTTTGTCTCAAAGTGAGTTCGTATGGCAAATATTTTGCGGCAAAATCATCAGGAACTTCGGACAAGTCAACCGGCGTCGACTTATACTGAGTTACACGCTATGTTGATGATGTCGGAGCATCATAGGAGTTATCTCCCATAGCGCGATGGGCGGAGTTTGGCGATACGTTAATTCTTCTACATGCCTGACAAAGTTCTTCTAGTAAAACAGAAAGCTTGCAAGTCTCTTGCTGTTGATAATGAAATAGCACAATGTCATTGTGCCTTTTGATATTTTTTGTTACATTGCATTAATTTTATGATTTTCCATACATAATTTTTTAACAATGCCTAAAACATGCAGTGCTTAAAGAGTTATTGATTATGCATGAGTGTTAAATACCCTCATGCTGATCTTCAGGAGGTGATGATTTTAAGGGAAGATACATTAACAGTTTTATGATTAATTAGATTTTGTGTGAAAACCTTCACTGGACATAGGGAGTGGGTGAGAATGGTCAGGGTCTACCATGATGGGTCACTTCTAGCCAGCTGTTCTAATGACCAGGTATAGTAATAAGAATAAGTTTTAACATAAGAATAAGTTTTAACATATTTTTTATTAAATCTAATAGTCAAATGTGATTGTTAAAATCACTTTTTTTTTGTATATGTAACAAAAATAAGATAATGTAGTAAAAGTCAATTGCCTTCATCTAAAGGCTTCAATAGTCACACATAAAGAGATAAATGCTAGTGACTGATATAAAAATTCATACTTTGCTCATGTTAGTAGTCAATTTTTGATGGTGAGTGTATCTGTTTTCAGACTGTTAGAATATGGGTAACAGCTACCAAAGAGTGTAAAATGGAACTAAGAGAACACGAGCATGTTGTAGAATGCATTGCCTGGGCCCCAGAATCAGCACAACCAACAATTAATGAAGCAATCAGTGCAGAGGTAAGGTTTTCAAGCAAAAAAAAACAAAAATCCATACCATAATACAGTATTTTAGTGCTTTTGCTGGAACAGTTTTTTTTCCTTTGTAGAACAAGAAAGAGAAAAGATCTGGGCCATTCCTGATTTCTGGATCACGCGACAAAACAATCAAGATGTGGGATGTCAGTGTGGGTCTGTGTTTGTTTACACTGGTAAGTTCTTTCATTATGGTCCAAACATTTTTTTCTGAAATTTCACATGCTAGACCTGGGTTTCACAAGCTAAATGGCAATACATATCACAATGTAGTCCAACAATTCAGCATGTATGAAGATAAAACCGTCAAAATTGGACACATTGTTCGCTTCATGAGTCCTTGCAATCAATACAATTGACTTATCATTGTTATGTATTGCTTACCTCTTCTGACATGCTCCACATTTGGAAGTCAAATGTGGTCAGAGAAATGTCAGTTTTAGTCCAGATTAAAACATAAGTTTCTGTTCTAAAGAGCAGATTTTGTATTAGTTTGTATGTACTATCCCAGGTTAAAGTGATCTTTTTTTTTTCAGACGGGACACGACAACTGGGTGAGAGGCCTGGTATTCCACCCGGGTGGCAAGTACATCCTGAGTGCCTCTGACGACAAGACACTGAGAGTGTGGGACATCAAAAACAAGAGAAACCACAAAACCCTGGATGCACACTCCCATTTTACTACTTCTCTAGGTATTGATACAGTAGTAGATTAAACACTTGTGATTTTTGATTTGATGAGATATTTCTCTATATTTAATCAGACAGACACAGACTTACATTAAGTTTTATATAATGGACTTGGCTTTAATTAAGTAGATCATAATTATCATAAACAAGTTTTTAAAAAAATTATGCAGAAGCATTGATTAACAACATAGGTTTTACTATAGATTTCATTGTAATGATTTGATTTCTTTAAATTTTATTTTTCAGATATGCACAAAAGTGCTCCTTTTGTGATAACTGGCTCTGTTGACCAGACAGTCAAAGTATGGGAATGCCGTTAGGAACCTTATTTTCTTTTTCAGACAATAGTAGAACAATATAATTTATTTATTACTGCATCTTTGTGCTCTCAAAGCCTGTAAACCACCTCAGCGGTTATGCTGTCAGGATCATGTTTGTCTCAACTCTTGCATACTCGGCTTGCTTTTATGTAAATCTGCATTCCCCAAACCCCTGTTGTGCTGTAATGTTAACAGTATTAACCTGTTGAATTTATTTTTTAAACTGCCTCTGAGCATACAGTTTTACTAAAACTTAAAGGGGATATCAGCATTTTGAGCTTTTTTATATAATCTGCTATACCTTTGTCATTTTGGGTAATGTTTATTTACGGCATGAGAACAAACCAGTAGTGTGCATATCCAAGAAGCCAGTTAAGAACTCCAGGGTTAAAGTGTTCATTTGTTTATATACTCAGGATCGTGAGTCCCGTGTTCAAACCCACATTAAGTGATCTCGGAAAGTCAGATGTTCGTACATTGTAGGACAGTTGTTTCTGCGTTATTGGTGAAGGGAGAAATGTGAGTTGGAAACACAACTCAAGTATAGTCTTCTGTGTATCTTCTAGTATATAAGTACCTTCAGAAAGAGGAAATATTAATCCAAATCTACTGTTTTATATCAGTATTGGGGCTACATTATACTAGTACAAAGATGAACTTTGATATTCAGAATATGTCATGTATAAGGTGAAGATTTTGGAAAGATATTTTTTTAATGGAAAATTTGGGGTCACAAAATTCATTGGTGACTTCATGGGTCTATTATTCATCAGGTTCAGCTCACAAGTCATGGGTGACAAAAATTTGTTTGAACCATTAGAGAAGAGCATAGATTCATTATTGTATTAAAAATGGATGTGAATATTGAATTGTATTCATACCAGTAGTTTTATTGTATTTCTATTTAATTGTAAGAGTGATTAAATTTATTTATAATTGATCAAATAATTATTAAAGTATATGTACAGTGTATGTAGATTGTGTCTAGTGATTCTGACACTATCATCCCATATGTAGTATATTCAATTTAAATTTATTCAGTGAATTATAGCTTTCCTATAGATGTGTTGCACTGATTTTTTTTCATTTTCAGTCATTTACATGGTTGCATCATTGAAAACAAATTTTTGATTGTGAGATTTTTTAGTTACATCTTTGAAACACTGTTTATTGAAAGTTCACGTGTGTCAGAAATATTTTGTTGAAAAGGGTACCACTGTCTTTCAATCCAATGGATATTATGAGGAAATGGCAAATTTGCTAAAGTTATCAGAGTGCAATTTTTTATTAAACGATGTTTTATGCCTTTAAATGGTGTTCAGTATTTCTCCAGAACTTTAATCAAACCTGATGGCTCACAAAATCATAGAATTTATAATTTCTAGGCATAATCATGCAATGTAGCAGAACAGTTTTCCTATAGCCGTAATATTTTTTTTTAAATGAAAGACAGTGTTATCTTCTCCAACAATGCAGTGTACAGCACAGCAATATACTTATATATGTGGATGTAATGTGTTGTTCAGTTATAGATGAGGGGTTTATCATGGTAGGTGCTGCTGCACACCTCCATAGATAGCCCCCCTTCCAAGAACTCAGGGAGACTCATACTCCAAACCCTCCTTTAGCATGTTGCCAAAGGACCAACTATGTGATTTGTATAGCATCACAAAAAATGTAATCTTGTGGTTTTCTTTAGAGGTAATGTGTATGCAGATATGCCCATACTAGATAATCTGCAGGTATTTATACTTGCCTAACCCGATGATGTTACAGGTGCTTACTGCCAATCTCCAACAGTTGAATTACGACATATTTAATATGCATTGTTTTATTATGAATTTTTCTTTATTTTGCTGATGACTTGACTGTGATAAATCTTATATTTTTTCTACAAATCTGGTATTACAATGTCAAATTTTTGTTGATTTTTTTTATATTGTTTCTTGTTAACCTTTGACCGATATTGCTGAAGTTGTGTTCTAATGAATCCTCACAAAAAGGGGTGTGGCATCTATGCAAAGGACGGGTGTTGGTGTGTGTTGATTTTCTCTTGATCTGGACAGAATCGGCTATAAATATGCAAATCAAGTATAAGAAGCTGACTATACATTTCTACTGCTTGAAGTTTATAGTCAGTCTTTTATGCTCTTATAAAATAAGTGCTTGGTTGTATTTCAGTTGTATAAAAGACATAATTTTGTACACCTGAAATACAATGTTACGGATGCTAGTTTTATAAAAAGGTGAACTTATATGAGTACATGTTTGCTTGTGGTGTCATTTTTTTGTTCACTATTTGTGATCTTATTAAGTTAAAGAAGTGAGAAAAAAATATCAATTTTTATGTCACTGAAAATTTAAAAAAAAAAAGTCCATGTTATTTGTTTTCAGTTATATGACTACAGCTTTATTCAGAAAGAAAAAAATCAGAACCAAATTATTCAGTCATCCAATATTCATTTTGTTTTATTTTTCTGTATGAATAGTATTGATGTCTTTAGCAGAAGCATTGTTTAAAATTGCTTGATACTTTTGTTTCGGTCCATAAAATCCTTTTTCTTCCCACACATTTCTTGCCTACATTTTCCAAAGCCATTTGCTTGTGAACAATGTAGGATGAAGTGAGAGGATTTTTTGAGATAATCTGGTTTTTGTCAATATGCCAACTTGGAAGAAAATTTTGCACTTTGTCATGACCCATATTTGTTGGTTACTGTATTAACTGTCTGTAATCAAATCAATGCTTTTTGCTGTTTGTTAAGCTTTGTGTGATGTCGAGTAAATATGCCTGTCTTGGACACAAATCCAAAAGTCTTGACATAAGTTGCCTTTGGACAGAATCTCTGTTCTGTGCGGTTTGAAGGGATGTGCCGATTTGTGGCTAATTGAAGGGAGAAGTCACATGACCTTGTCAGTTGAGGATTTTAATCTTTGATCTGATTGTTATTGTGTATTATGTCAATAAATTATAATGCTACATGAATTGTTCTGTTTTGTAAATGTATATTCAGACTGTATGAAAGATGCCATTGGGTTCAAAGCATCACCCTAGGATAAAGTCCAATCTACCAATGTCACTAAAAAGTTGAACTAATTTAAGATCTAAAGCAGGTCACTCTGACCAGCTGTGAATTTTACTAATATTCATTCTCAGATACCTGTAAATATTGAACACACTGAAAACCAGTCATTAAATCTTGTCACTGTTCACATGTCCTGTAATTGATAAGGCCTTGATTCACAAAACCTTGTTCTTTCATGCACCATTGGACATCAGTGTGCATGAAACTAAAAGTAGGTCATGATCTATTTTGGAATTACAAATACAGGGACGTAGCAACAGTTGAAAATGTTCATTGAAAGGCTGGTCCCCCCCCCCCCCCCACTTAATACTAAAGTAAAGTAATATGAAGGAAATGTGTATTGTACGCTTTAAAAATGGATATTGAAAGGAATTGGTAGTGAAAAAGTTTGCCTGTAACACCCCCCCCTCTTTTTTTCTTTTTTCTTTTCTTTTTTTTTTTTGCTTGTCAACTTTTTCAGTAAAGTAAAAAAAAAAATGCTATGGCTGCCCCCCCCCCTTTTCAAAATCGATGCTACATGCCTGAAATAGATAGCTATTGTCAACCTTTATCATCATCAGACTTTTACTGTCGATATACATCCTTAGGCCATGAAGTAAATTAAATGAAAACTTAATTGATACATGATAAATTGCAAAAAAAAAATCTAGCACATGCAGATATATTTTTATTGGATGGGGGTCTTTTAGTCATGAAGGAGTCAAAATCTTTTTTCCCTTTTTTATGGTCTAAATCAAGAGTAAGCTAATTAATTCCTCTTTCCTTTGTTTCCAAAAATTATCCAATAAATGATTTTTTGAATTAATGCATACACGGTTCGTTTTTAACCGATCAATCCGTTTTCGCCCACTGACCTTTTTGAACCGACTCAATATGTCTGCGCCCATGGTTGATGCAACGGAACTTTGACGTTTGGTGTATTCACTTTAGTTTGTAGCTTTTCTGTACGTTTATGCATTCTGCATTGAATTCATACTCTTTCTTATACATGTATTTCGTTTTCCTACATTACATCATACATAACAGTTGCACAATGAATCAATCGTTTTGTAGGGATTAGATTTAGCGCCAAATATGCTAAGTTTCATTGCCCAAACACTGCCATCATTTAACATGTTTATTCATGAATATGTCAGCTCATTTTTTGCAGATTTCATCATTTTTTGCAGAGAAATAAATAAATAAGATTTAAATAATGTCACTTTTAAGCTACACTCAGTTTACATTTAGCAACAATGTGGAATGGCATATTCTCTAGAGAGAAATGGACAGGCTTTGCCTACCCTTCTTCTTCTTCCATACGAGTTTACGCTAGCTAGAGTGTTGTACTCAGACTGTCACACGTGTCGGACAAGGCTAAAAACCTGATCAGGGCACTATGTACAATAAAAAGTTACGGTAAATACTCCAGGCACACTTAGTTGGTGTTTGTGGGCAGCTGGCACCTCGTATATGAGTCCAGCTGTGTCCGAAAGGACTCTAATGTTGGTGCTGAGGCAACTACAGATGGTAAGTTGTTCCAGTCTAGGATTGTCCTCGGAAAGAAGGAATATCGATGTGCATCAATCCGGGTGTGTGGTAGACAGTACGTGTAGCTGCCTCAAGTCCTTCTGTCACTGGATGTCAGGTACTTATCTGCAGGAATAGCCACCAAAGCATGCTCGATCTTGTAGAGCAAAATGAGTCTTATCTTCATTCTTCTTGTTTGTAATGGTTCCCAGTGTAGATCTTGAAGCTGCATGGGTAACGGCCTGCCAGGATGGTAGTCATGTTAATTCTTGGTGGCAAATCGTGCTGCTCTTCTTTGCTTTTTCTCAAGCTGTTGGACTTGTTTGAAGCTCCAGGGATCCCATGCTGCACAGGCATATTCTAGGATTGGTCGAACTAGTCCCTGGTATGCTGCAGATGTTGCAGATGTCCGACATCCCCTTATATTCTGCCTGATGAAGCCCAGTGTTTTGTTGGCTTTTGATGCAATGTTATTATGTTCCCCAAACGAAGTTGGGGAACATATTGTTTTTACTCTGTTTCTTATTATTATTATTATTAAGGTCTTCCGTTTCCAACGGAAGACCTTATTGTTTTCGTTCGGTTTCTTTTTCCCTATTATTATTATTTTTTTCTTACCGATTTTTGTGCACGCGAGTTCTCGGAAACGGCTCGCTCGATTTTAATGAAACTTTCAGATCTAATAGATATTGATCTGAACCTTATTGGAAATTTTTTATATTGATGACGTCACTTCCGGTCGTGAGATATGGACGATTTTCTGATTTTCAGAGGGTCTGCTTGTCCAGGAAACTCCTCCAAAACGACTTAAGATATTGACTTAAGATTTTCAGTGAAAGTAAACGAAGGTTTAGTGAATTGTAATTGGGTCTCAAAATCTTTTAGCGCAAAATGCCTCTCGGTAGAGCCCGAAAAAATGTCTCAGAAACATCTCACAAAAATTGACACATTTTGTTTCATATCTTCGTACCTGTTGATAATTTGTTAAAAGATATTGAAGAAAAAATGTGCAAAATGGCAAGACCTTTCATTTGATATCAAGAAAATGGGGCTGACCCCTCAAATTAGGGGCTCAGAGGGGCCAAAAGTCTTTTATCTATAACTCTATAATGATCAATATTTTATTATACATTACTGAAGCAAAAGTATTTATCTTAACGATTAGCAACAAAATATTATAAAATTTTGATCATATGTTACGTAATTAGGGGTCACAAGGGGCCAGAATGTCAAATTTTTGACGCTTTATATCTCAAAAAGGGGGAATATTTTATTAAGCAGTATTGAACAAAAGATGGTCAGAATAATGTTCTACATAATATGCATACTTTGAATTTTTGTAAAACGGCCCCATTAAGGACTTATATTTCCATTTAGCATATCTCCACAACAAATAGAAATCTCTGAATAAGTGTTGAACAAAAAATTTTCAAAATCACAAGACATTTCATTTGATATTAAGAAAATGGGACTGACCCCTCAAATTATGGCTCAGAGGGGCCAAAAGTCTTTCATCTTTAGCTCGTTAACGATAAATATTTTGTAATACATTACTGAAGCAAAAGTATTTATCTTTACGATTAGCAACAAAATATTATAAAATTTTGGTCATAGATTACGTAATTAGGGGTCTCAAGGGGCCAGAATGCTAAATCTTTGAGGTTATATATCTCGAAAAGGGCGAATATTTTGATGAGTAATATTGAACAAAAGATGGTTAGAATAATGTTTTAAACAATATGCATACTTCATATTTTTGTAAAACGGACCCATTAAGGACTTGGAGGGTAGCCCCTAAATATTTCCATTCAGCATATCTCCACAGCGAAAATAAATCTCTGAATAGGTTTTGAACAAAAAATCTTTGAATTCACAAGATCTTTCATTTGAAATCAAGAAAAAGGGACTGACTCCTCAAATTAGGGGCCCAGAGGGGCCAAAAGTCTTTCATCTTTAGCTCATGAATGATTAATATTTTGTAATACATTACTGAAGCAAAGATATTCATCTTAACGCTTTGCAACAACGTTTTATAGAATTTTGATTACATGTTGCTGTTGCATAATAAAGGGTCGCAAGGGGCCAAAATTCTTTATTTTGGATGCTTTACGTCTTAGAAAGGAGGAATATTTTAATTATAAGCCATATTGAACTAAAGATGCTCAAAATATTGTGATATAAATCAGAATAATTAAATTAAATGATAGAAAACTTAATTTCATTACCTTATTACGAATATCTCAGTCAAAATCACATCTCATTTTATCGATAAATTCAACGGAAGACCTACTCGTTGCTCGCAACGAGATCGTTTCTAGTTATTATTATTTTTCTTCTTCCTGGGAAAATCTTTTCCGCGAATGATCTTGTAAACTACACATCTGACTAAGGTGAAACCTTTTTAGGGTCAGTAGGCATGTTATGTAGATTTGCGGAACGAAGGTCATTTTGCGCGCACGTGCTTGCAAGAGTGTGCACGTGCAACGCGTGAAATGACCAATATTATGAATATTGCCGTAACTTTTTTAATTTTAGATAAAATGTTTTGAAACTCATAATATAAGGATATATTAGTAGCATAGACAAGATGACATGGTCAAAATTGCAAGATCTCACGCGCATGCACGTGCGCTTCGCTCTGATTGGCTGAAACTAAAGTCTCGATATCTTTCTTGTCTTTTGATAAAATCATTTGAAATTTTGAATATAGTCATACATTAGGGAGATCTAAAGCCTGGTATAAAAGAATTGTCATATGAAAGAATGTGCATGCACGTGTGCTTGCAAGAGCGCGCACGTGCAACACTAGAAATGTCCAATATAATTGATATAAACGTAACTATTTAATTTTTTTATGAAATGTTTTGAAAGTTATAATATAAGGATATATCAGAAGCATAGACTAGATGACATGGTCAAAATAGTAAGATCTCACGCGCATGCACGTGCGCTTCGCTCTGATTGGCTGAAACTAAAGTCTCAGTATCTTTCTTGTTTTTCGACAAAATCCTTTGAAATTTTGAACATGGTTATACATTATAAAGATCTACAGCATGGTATATAAGAATTATCATGAAAAGCATGCGCATGCACGTGTGCTGCAATCTGATTGGCTGATATTTTAATTGTCTATAACTTTCTTAGTTTTCAACGAAACGGGATAAAATTTAGAATATGAATAGGTATCATGGATTCCTACATAATGGTACTATCAAAATTGAATGCACGAACATTCTTTCATGCAAGTGAGCGCGCGAAATATGCAAAAGGGCCAATATTTTTAAAAAACATTAAAATGTATATTGTAAAGATTTTTTTTATTTATTCTCACGATATATAGATATGCTAATTGTTTAGACAACATGCTATGATCATCTTGCATGTACATGCACGTGCGTGCGCATACAATGCGTTAAATGACATATAGTTGATATCATTATACCTTTTATAATTCTTTGATGAAATCCTTCGATACTGATCATATTTTGTAAAATGTCTTACAGGAATTAGGCACAAAAAGGGATTTGGGGAGCGTTTGGGGAACATCTGTAACGGTCCCCGTTACAATTAGCACTAGTTAATAATGTGGTTGTCCCATCGTAGATCTTTACTGATGGTGACTCCAAGGTATTTGCTGGAATCAACCACATCTAGGAGGTGCCCATGTATAGAGTAAGTAGTGGTGATGGGTTTCCGCATGTTGGTAATATGTATTACTGCACATTTTTCTGGGTGGAATGCCATCTGCCAGTCCTCCTCCATTCTGGTCAGAGAATCAAGATCCTTCTGTAAGGTAACTGCATCATCCTTATTTGTAATGGGTCTGCATAGGAGACAATCATCTGCAAAAAGGCGAGTATCTGACAGCATTCATGTAGGCTAAAGCCTGTTCACTTCTCTAAAGAGAATAGGGAATTGCACTGAATTTACATGTTCAAAAAGAAAACATCTTTTAAGGTAAATATTGCTGAAATCAAAGCCTTTTAGACATGCCTCTTATGCTAAATTAAATGGTTTTAACTTAGAAGATCCACATTAATGCTACAGCAAAACTCGGTTATAAGGAAGTTGCTGGGACCTTTGAAATTACTTTGCTATATCCGTAATTCGTTATAACCATATAAGAAATTCATTTAATTTATATAGCTGGGGATCCAAAATAACTTTGCTATATCCCGTGAACTCCTAATATCCGTGTTCATACTAAACGAGTTTTACTAATTAAATACTATTAATTATGACCAATATAGTCAGCAACACACACTAGAGTTGCCAGAGCTCACACTGCAAGCTCTAATGTCCAAACCTGGGGCAAGAGAAAATTTGAACTTTGCACATTGATCCAAGTGATTTATTGTACACAGTCACTCTGGACGAAGAATAAACTATAGACTGCATTTTTAAAGTAACCAAAAAAAAATAATAATAAAATTATTATTTTGCAGATTAAAATATTTTGAAGATGGCACTAAATAAATTTATGCATCCAAGAAATCCATATAAAGAAAAGGCTCCTAACTTTAAAGCCCTCTCACTCAAATATCCAGAGTTTGCCAAATGTGTTTTTCAAGATTTGAAAGGAAAATGTCACTTGGATTACAAAAGTCCGACATCTCTAAGACAATTGGCCATAGCACTTTTGAAGGAGGATTTTGATCTGGATGTTGAAATGCCTTTGAACAGACTGATTCCTACTATTCCATTAAGATTAAACTATATTTTGTGGATTGAGGATATTCTGAAAGAACTGGCACAAGTCAAAGGAAGGGGCATTGATATAGGTAGGTTTTATCATTTGTGTTCAACTCTCTGATTGATATACATCTACTAATATACTATATGCTTCTTATGCATAGCTTTTTCTTTGGAATCAAATTATGTTCCATTACACAGTTCCAAGTTGTGTATAAATGGAAGATTTTGTCCACTTCTTTTAATTTTCTTAGAAGAGCTTTATCGAATTTTTATTTTTCCCCCAGGCACTGGAGCTAGCTGTGTGTATCCATTGCTCGGCTGTAAGAAAAATGACTGGAGTTTTCTAGCATCTGAGGTGGACGAGACAAATTTTACCATGGCTGAGAAAAATGTACAGAGAAACAACATGGAAAACAAAATAAAAGGTACACATTTCTTTTGTTTCTTTTTTTAAGAAGCTGCAAAAATCATAAAATGATAAGTAATACTGGGATAGTTCAACAAAAGTGATGAATTGATTGTCATGATATGTTTTTTTTTTTCATTTCATAGATTCTCTGAAACTGAAAGGTACTGCATGTACATATATGTCATAATTTATAATATACTTTGTAATTAAATATGGCGAAAATGATATACATGTTGGGCTACCATTAATTTTTAGTTAAAAAGGTTTCTGGTGAAACTGCTCTTCTGGAGCTGTTAGAAGACGAGACTGGTGATTACGACTTCTGTATGTGTAACCCTCCGTTCTTTGCTGATCACATGGAGGCCCAGGCAATCACTTCCTCCCGGACGGACGACAGGGCTGAGCCAACATCCGTCAACACGGCCAGTGTGGGAGAAAGCATCACAGAGGGCGGCGAAGTGGAGTTTATAAGAAAAATCATCGTAGAGTCGGTGAAACTTCAGGACAGAATCAAGTAAGCTCTGTTGTACAAGATGTTATGATTATGGTCTTAAACATGACTTTAGATAGAAACATGACTATGGTCTTGGACATGACTAATGTCATAAACAGAACTAGCCCTATTTAAACATTGATTTAAGTTAAAACTATCTAACATGCTGCTTACATGCAGAATAATGAATACAGCAAAACTCGGTTATAACGAAGTCGCTGGGCCCTTGGAAATTTCTTCGCTATATCCGTAATTCATTATAACCGTATAAGAAATTCATTAAATTTATATATAGCGGGGAATCCAAAATGACTTCGCTATATCCGTGAATTCGCAATATCCGTGTTCGTACCAAATGAGTGTTACTGTACATGTATATTTTAATAAAATGCTTGTAGTTTCATCACATGTAATACATATCAGGATATTATACAACATGTTAGAGGATAAATTTGTCTCTCTTTACACATTGAGTTCCTGTCTTTGTAGAATTTTTACCAGCATGGTTGGGAAGAAGACAAATTTACCTTGTGTAAAAAAGGATCTCCAAGATCACAAGGTATTCCATAAGCACAATATATGTACATACACTGTATTTATAATTTGTGCTAGTAATTATTTATTTTTAATTTTTTATACTGGACAAAGGAATATATTATTGCCTTTCATTTTACCAGCTACATGCATATGTCTGTATTATTGTATGTGAATTGGAATTTAATATTCTTTTAAGATCCCAAATTACCAGTCCACAGAATTTTGTCAAGGGAAGACAATGAGATGGGGAATAGCATGGACCTTTGACACAAATCTTTCATTTCCTGTAAGTTCTTTCTGTAAGATGTCTGAAATAAAGAAAACTACTGATATATTTAGGAAATTTCAATTTATATGTATGTCATCTTTATATTCCCTGCACTTTGCAAGTCCAAACAAATGAAATCTTTGTTGCATTTATACGAGTGTAAAATGCCTATTGGAATTTCAAAAGTATTTGGTTCAGGTGCACTATTTTTTAAGTTCATGGAATTGAATAAAAAATTGAAATTTCTGTAAATCTCTGCATTTTAGAGGTCACTATTTCAAGAAAGCAAGAAGAACAAGAAGCTCTCTGCTCCGTTGACCTACACCGTCCCTCAGTCTGCTGTTGATGTCTACGATGTGGAGCATGTAGCGGACAAACTGATGGGGATACTCAAGTCATTAGAGGTAAACAGCTATTCTGGTCATCTGAATTCTGAATAAGGCAGACTTGCTTTATTTTCAAATCTGATCTGCCTCAACTGTTTTTTAGCTCACCTGAGCCGAAGGCTCAAGTGAGCTTTTCTGATCACATTTTGTCCGTCAGTCTGTTAACTTTTCACATTTTTGACTTCTTCTCAAGAACCACCGGACCAATTTTAACCAAACTTGGTACAAAGCATCCATATGTGAAGGGGAGTTTAAATTGTTAAAATGAAGGGCCAAGACCCCTCATAAGGGGAGATAATCAATAAAAGACAAAAATAGGGTTGGGTCATTAAAAAATCTTCTTCTCAAGAACCACTGGTCCAGAAAAGCTGAAACTTATGTAGAAACATCCTGGAATAGTTTAGATTCTAAATTATAAAAATCATGACCCCCGGGGGTTGGGCAGGGCCACAATAGGGAATCAAAGTTTTACAAAGAAATATATAGGAAAAAACTTTAAAAGTCTTCTTTTCAAGAACCACTGGGCCAGAAAAGCTGAAACTTATGTGGAAGCATCCTGGGGTAGTGTAGATACTAAATTGTTAAAATTGTGACATGGGGGTGGGGTGGTACGGCGAGGCCACAATAGGTATTACAAGGGAGGAAATCCGTTAAAAAATGGCATCACCAAAGTTACTCAGGTGAGCGATGTGGCCCATGGGCCTCTTGTTTTGTTTTTTTTTTATCCTAACAATCCACAGTTATTGAGGGAAAAAGGATATTGATATGTGTTGTTTGAATCTCCCTGAAGGCTTTGTTTGTTTTGAACATACCGGTAATCAGAAACCTTGGATGGAAATTAAATATAAAGTGGTATTTTCTCTAAGATTTCATGGATTGGAAAAATCTGTTTTGTTTGTCTGATGTCATTTTTTCAAGAGATTTTTACTGCAAAATCTTGATAAGTTTTAGGTTCTATCATGAGAGATGAGACTGAGATCAGGGATGGGGTAATTGAATAAAGTAATTGTAATTGAGTGTAATTAATTACATTTTTCAAAGTAATTGGAAGTAATTTGTATTTGAGCGAGCCTTCAATTACAAGTAATTGAATGTATTTAAATACATTTCAAAAAAGTCATGTATTTTCAATTACTTTTCAGTTACATTTCAATTACTTTTTTTCAAAATGAAAGTTTATATTTAAAAAGGTGACTTATACTGATACATAGTTTTATACTGGTGGGTTTGTATTACTTATTCCCAAGGGCCTTTGAAGTACAACCTATCTAACCTAACTAAGTATCCTATTAAAGACCCAAGTTGCATCACCTAAAAAATTGTGATTCTTAGAAAAGGATAAGCATCAAGTGACAAAGTTTGATTATTCATGTTTTATAAATCTCAGTTCTCCCTATTCTCACTTGCAAATAACAATAATTGTTTAGATAGTTAATTTGTTTTACAGCAATTAAACTAACTACATCCCCTTTTAGATTTACCAGTATTCTATTCATTTTAAGATAGAAAATAATGAATGGAATTGTGATAGATATTATTTATTTCCTTCCAAAATATGGATTTGAGAAATTAACAAAAAAGGTCTTGCCATACACTATACTGGTGTAGCATGGGCTTGTGTTTGTACAATAATTAATTGTCTCATAATGTTTTGTTTGGTTTGTTTATACAGTGTGTCACACTCATTATAAGGTAAAGGTCTAATTTTGACCAGGTGTGAACCCCTATCATACCTTTCTAAAAGAAGAACAAAAACACTGAATGAAAGTTCGGATTCTATAGAAAAAATCTTATTTAAAAAAAAATCTTTTTTTTTTTTTATAAAAATAAAACTCGAAGTAATTGAAGTGTATTTAATCAACTTAAGTTTGATGATCAAGTAAATTTAGGTCAACTTTAAAGTGACCTTACATTTGTCAAAGTAATTGAAAGTAATTAATTACATTTGAAAAAATCAATGTAATTGTAATTGCAAGTAATTGAAAAAATTATCAATGTATTTGAAAGTAATTATTTACATTTCAAAGAAATTGACCCCAAGCCTGACTGAGATAAGAAAACAAATTGTATCAAATGGATGATTTTGACAGATCATTTACCATGTTTTATTTCAGATCGAATACACTAAGTCTGATGACAGCAAGGCCAAAAGAATTCATCTGAAACTGACAGCTTACAAGAATACATGGTCCCACCAGCGACGGAAACGAAGGGAAATGAAACGTCAGAAGGAAGAGCTTAAAGCTGTGTGCACAGGGAGAAAGGAGATAGGGACAGAAGAACAGGATGATGACAATGGAAAAAACAAAAATGTGCAAGAAATTAACGTTGATGATCCAAGTAATAAACAAATTAATTTAAAACGAAAAGAAGCCCCAAGTAGTGATGAACATTCACCTAAAAAACAGAAAGTAGAGGAAAGTTTAATACCCAGTGATAGTGATCAAGGTGCTTTAAAACGAAAGGGTGCACCAGGTACTGAAGAACATTCCTCTAAAAAAATGAAAGTGGGGGAAAGTTTAATTCCAGATGGCATTAATTCAAAAAATCCAAGTGATCAAAGTGGTTTAAAACGAAAAGGTGCTCCTACTACTGAAGAGCATGCAGATAAAAGACAGAAAGTGAAGGAGACAATAGGTAATTCTGATAGAGAGAAAAAGTTGAGAGAAAGCAAAATGACAGAGAATCAGGACAACACAACAACCAAGTCAGAGGAAGCATGGAAACCTAGAACATCTGATAGTCCTGTGGCTACATCCGATAGTCCTGTAAAGGCTAGAACATCCGATAGTCCTGTAAAGGAAGGAGATACAGATGTGTTCCTCATAAAATGTGACTTATTCATAACAGAAACAGAGAAAGTGCACATTGAGATGGTGTATGCAGAAGGTCAAAAAGACCAAATGAATCAGATATTGCAGTACATAAAGAACCACATAGCATTGCCATAATGACTTTTGTCTATTCATTTAACGGTAGTGGCACTTACATGCTTTTAAGACATATGGAAAATGCAAGATCATCAAAAACATTGAAATTACAAATAAATTATAATAGAAATTAATACACACTTTTGTTCATAACCAGTGTTTAAGGAAATTATTTTAAAAAATCTTGGCGGGATTTAACCACTAAATCCACATTTACCATTCTTATGAAGCTAGTGCAATGTTGATGAAAACTATAACAACAAGTCTGTGACCAAATTCTCACTAGTAACACTCCCACTCTAATGTGAAAATATGCTCTCATGTGAATAAAGCTTAGATGGAACAGAAATTAAGTACGGACAGATGCACAGATAAACAAGAAGTTGACATCAGACTCATACAAAAATCACATGGCAAATGATGGCATGCCTAAAGAGTGAGGTAAACTGTGACAGAAATTTGATACAGTTTTCTAACAACTAGTCATTAAAAATGCTTGAAATTTTAGCACACTCTTTGTATAGGCATGCCATGTAGAATTCTTTTTTGTAAAAATCCGACATCAACTTCCTGTTTATCCCTGTGTCTGTCTGTAACTGAACTTTTGTTTATTCACAACAGAATGGGGGTATTGCTATTGAGCATTGGCTTGCAGACTTATTATATTTGTTCTATTACCTAAGCAAGTATTGAAACAAGAAATGTCTTTAAGGAGAAAATTTGTCTGAAATGCAAATACATTTAAACTCAACATTTCATATGATCTAACCACTGAGCTACCCATGTCAATATTCATGGTTCATATGCACATTAGCTCAAACCACTACATCTCATTCAAGTAATCTTCAACCATATTTGTGGAGTAATTTTAGCTATATGGGCAGTGGATATATCAGCCTTGGTAGTACAGTTGTTATTCAAGGACCATTCTGTTAAAACGGGTTTCTAGCTCGATTCCCTTGACCAATCATGAATTTTCTCTTTTCCTATTGTTCTGAATTTAAACCTTGGTTGACACTGCCATAAAACATGCACACATGCAAATTTAACTACTCAAGTTATGCCTAAAATTACAGCCTATAAATGACCTCGAACTTGATTTCTGCATTTGGTTCATTGATATAAGTGTGGTTAAAAAAATAACATCAGCTTTAAATTGTTGGCAAAACGGACCTCTGTGCAGGATGAGACAATGTAATTGGTTTTTTGATACACTAATTGGCATTTGCCCGAATTTCTTCCCATGTATATTTCAAGTGATGTGTATTTGTAACGTTGAGAATGTCACGCTTTACTGAACATAAGTGTGTAATAACTTTCTTGTAATTTGGTGTTATGATAATGATCAAGCAATTGGTTTGCCTGATAATTTATGATATAAACATCTTTGGAATTTCTGCAAATTATTACACAAGCCAATAATTGCTTTATCACACCATGAAACCAAAGAACAAGACAGTTATTCCTTATTTATTCTATTGAAGCATATATCCAATGTAAATGTCATCAACAGCTTTCCACGTTCTTTTGTGATATTAATACATGTATCCAGGTATGCCATACTCGTCAGTTATTTATGGTGGTAAACTCTTCTTGCATTTAATGTAAAACTAGTGAAGTTATACACAGGAAAGATGTATAATGTATTGCTTGACTAGTAATTTCAAGACCACTAAGCTGTGTACTGAAAACAAATACTTCAAAAAATGTGTAAAACTCAAAAATATTTAATAACAACACAATGCATGAACAGCATCAATAAGCACTGAGGTAAAACTGTATAACATACCCCTGTACAAAAAAATGAGGTACCTCTAAATAAGTTTTCATTTAATTAAAAGCATATATATCTTGGCACTGAATAATCAAAAAAATATATGAAAACCATTCTAAAATCAGCTTGGAATATTTTCAGATGACAGTCTTTTGGCTTCAGCATTGAGAAATTTTAGAACACACTGCAGGAATTCTTTTGGATTGTCTGAATGCACCCAATGCCCTGCTTGTGGGATGTGTTCTATTACAGCATTAGGGAATAGGTTCATTATATCAGGCTTTGTACTTGGACTGAAAAAGAAAGTACAGGTACAATTATATATCATAAGGAATGATGGTAGTACATACAGTTATACTGTTAATGCCAGCTTTAGAAAAATTCTTATGAAATACAGTTGAACTTAGGAATCTCAAATACTATATCTCACATACCATCAAGTATTCAACATGTGAAATTGATTGTCAAGATCAAAATGCTTTATCTTTCTGATTTTAAACCTTATTATCTCAAATCTTCAAATATCTCAATTTTTTTTCTTAGATTCATCATGTTTGAAATATGACTGTATAACTTAAAGTTAATGATTATGAAACATTTGGAATAGTCTCGCTGTGTGTATATGTACTTTAAAACAAAAACATATACCGGTACATATTCTTACAAAAATCTAATTAAATACAATATTAAATCAGAGCTTATGCATTTACCTACACTGTACTACCTCTGACAACCATCATAATATAGTATACCTGATGTATTGAGATCTCTCTCCCCCAACAAACAAAGTGGGTCCTTCATACTTGGTGTCAAACTTTGGAAAACTGGCCAGTTCCTGATAGTCATTTATAATGGCATCAAGGTTCACTCTCCACTTTAACCGACCATTCACCTCGGTCAGGTTAGCTGCCAAAAACTGACGGACACCCAAATGCTGAAAAGGAAATTCAAAATTATAATCTGTTTTGTGAAGCGAGGACTGTCAGTCACACACAGAGGCAAAACTGTATACAGTAAAATAGGCTTAATATAATAATGTGCAAGGGAGATATGATTTTGTTTTCGTTACATACCTCAAGTTAACAATACATTTTGAAGTCATGGGGTATGAAAATCAGTTGGCTGCAAGTGTTTATTCATTTTAAGTGTGTTCACTATAAGTGTGTTTTACTGCACACTGATCAGTATTTGTACCTCTTCCACCTCCTTGAGTGCATCTACCACAACCATCCTGGCCTTGCTCAGGGACATCCCCTCTAGCTCTGGTAGCCTGGTGCTGATCTTCAACATACACTGTAAGTAGCTTGGGAAATATTTAGCACCAGGACTAGGGGCAGGAGAAACATCTACCACAATAAGACTAGACACTCGCTCAGGCTAAAAAAAAAAATCTCAATAATAAAATCTTATTTCATTTCAAAACATCTTGTACCGGTATTAAAAAGATTTTTTCTACAATATAGATTTGAAGTTTTCCTTTACGGTAAAAAACCAAGAAAACTAACAGAGAAGCCCAGATCAAATGGAAGCTATCATTCGGTAGTACATGTACTAAATGTACCATTAAGATTTGTTAGGTGAATGTTTTATCACAATTCTACATAACATTCATTTGATAGATACATGTTTATGCAACAGAAGTCATAAGAGCAAAGACAACTCATCTGGATAATTTTTTTTTGAAAACTGACAAGGAACTAACATCTTATAAGACTTACATGAAGCAAGGCTGTTGTCATAAATACTTTTCCTCCCATACTGTGGCCCATCAGGCAGGCTTTCTCTATCTGTAAGTCATCCATTACTTTCAAAACATCCAAGGACATTGCCTCATAAGACATATTTTCATGGTGTGGACTGTCACCATGGTTACGAGCATCTAACCTTATAATCTATAATCAAGGAAAATAATGTTAATACTGGTACATAATACCTGTACCTTTACTTTTATATACTATATACATTTACTGTAAATCACTTTTTATTCGTGAGAACTTTATTTTTGCGTAATTATGCGAGACAGTGTACTCGCAAAAATATCATTCTCGTGTATATAAATTCCGAAAGATTATACATGTACAAAGCAGTAACCACAATTTGTGAAAATTTTGTCTCGTTAATAAGGAGTTTATGTCTACCCTGCAAAAATAAGGTGTTACGAAAATTTGGTGATCTATAGTATGTAAAATCAAAGTTCAACCTTCTTAGTGTATTGATTACCTTTCTACCTGTTCTTGCTAAAACTTTTGATAAGGAAGCCCAGTTTGAGGATGACCCCATTAAGCCATGCATGATAAACAGAGGGGGACCACTGACATTGCCCTGGGGCTGGTGCTGATAGTCATAGGCAAGATTCACAGCAGAATAGTCCGAGGATCTGAAAACAGGAAGAGAAGGAGTTATTTCTTGTCAATGACAATAAACATGCATTCATTTTGTATTACAATTGTATTAATTGCCATGCAGATTTAATCTAATGATCTGAAATTTGGAAAATTGAATTCAAGACTCCTGTATCACTAGTTAGGTACCCTGGCACTGAGCTACCCTGTATCCACAGCCACAATATCCACAGCCTAAACCATCACATTTCTAACAATTCAACTGTCTTTGCCCTGGAAGACACAAGGCAAGTTCTTATTTGCCCCTGGCAGGACTTTCCTTTGAGAGTCCAGGGTGATCGATGGCACTAAATCTCAAACATGAAAGGAGAAAATATATAGGAGGACTTGGAATTGAACCCGGGACTCCTGCATCACTAGTCAGTTGCTTTACCAATACTGACTTAACCACATTACACCTCCCTCATTAAAGGTCCTTAAGACACTGGGGCCTTTCCCTGGCAGGTCTTTCACTCATCACTTCCAGAGCATATAGAATGAAAGGATGTCAAATGAAACCAAATAGAAGAAAAATTGCAATTCACAATATTGCAATAAAAAATTCAAGCCCATGAATCTCCAATCAGGTGCTTTATCAACTGAGCTTTCTAACTCGGACCTGCGATTGAACCCGTCTGTCTGCTATACCAGAAGGGCGCGGATTTCACCACTTAATCTTACACGGAATTAATTCATTTACAACTACAGGGTATTTAAGCGATTCAATTATCTGTAACTAAATATACCACAGGACTCTCATCCTCATCTTTTCATAACAGTACAATATAATAACAACATTTTCATTTCATCATAAATTTAAAGTTTAACAAAGTTAAATGTGGCTAAGTGTTGCAAATATATGTAAACATGAGGCCATGCTCTGACTAGCACAACCTAGTTGGACTAACCCTTTGGCTCAGTCAGTGGAGAGCTGGATTTTAAATTTTAGGGTTATAGTGTGGACACCACTAGCTAATTAGTCATAAAATTATGATGATCTGCGTCCATTCATCTACATGTTTCATACTGATATTCCCTTTGAGAAATGAGAATTAAATATCTCTGCAATTTCTTGTGTATCCTCTGTTACAAAATAATAATGTAACAGAGGATACACAAGAAATTGATATTCCCTCCTTGAAGGAGTAAATAAAGAAGAGTGTGATTTCGATGGCCTTTTAAATTTTGTACAGTCTAAATTTACAGTGTTTTCTATCCCGCTTATTAGCCCTAATATGCTTTCCTTATAAACAAACTAGATGTTAATAAATCATCAGTAACCATACATTCATATACAATGTCCACGTTTATTAAAACTTACTGCACAGATAATACATAAACCTGTAACCCATATAATAAATACTAGTATCACATCAGGTATTTTCCCGAAAACTTTTAAACTTGCCAAAGTTACACCTATCTATAAAAAGGGAAACAAGCTGATTAACTACAGACCCATTTCTATTTTACCGACATTATCAAAAATTATAGAAAAACATGTGGCAAAATATGTACGATTACTATTTTCAGAATTTGATCTTTTAATAGAATCTATATAGCACTTGTCAAACAGCCCTATTACATAAATGTTTATATGAAATGGACCAAGGCAAACTTGTTGGTACTGTCTTTCTCGAATAAGGCTTTTGACTTTAAATCATGAAATTCTTCTTATAGAGTGTTATAATTTTAATGAAATAACTTTACACTGGTTTCGATCATATTTAAGAGACAGACTTCAAAGTGTCCATCTGTTTAACAAAAAATCATCTTATCAGCAAGTCACAGCGGGAGTTCCACAGGGGTCTATACTAGGACCTCTCTTGTTTTTACTGTACATTAATGATCTTCCACTTTATATCAAAAATTCAAACATAGATTTGTTTGCCGATGATGCCACTTTACATGTCCCCGGCAAAGATCCCCAATCTATAGTAAATTCATTATCAATGGATATTGCTTGTATAGAAAAAGAAAATCAAATGATACTTAATGCCTCAAAAACTAAATGCGTGTTAATAGCCTCATCAGAAGAGATCAAAATTCTTAGACCATGATTTTCCTTTATACGTTTCGAAGAAATTAGACAATGTAACGTATGAAAAAATTCTTGGGGTATATTTAGATAATTCTTTACAATACAATGTACATATCGACCATGTATGTAAAACTCTGTCACTTAAAATTTCTGCACTCCGTAGAATTAAAAAATATCTTCCCCTTCAAACACGCAAGTTGTTTTATAATGCTTACATCATGCCTACCATTGATTACTGCCTAACAATTTGGGGAAATACATATCAAATTTGACAGAGTTCATAAACTTCAAAAACGTGCTGCAAGGTATATTTTAGATGCGCCCCCTGATGCACCCTCATCAATGAACTTGATTGGCTTACTGTTTATGAACAGCTTACTGTAAATAAATATGTATTGTTATATAAATCCCTCTTTAATTACTGTCCTACTTATTTACATGAAATGTTTCTTTCACACTAATAACCAATATACCCTTTGATCTAATGTTGATTTGTGTGTGCCAATTCATAAATGTAAACTTTTTGAAAATTCCTTCCAGTACTCTGGTGCCATTTTAAGTTGTACATAAAAATGTCACCAACACTTAATACTTTCAAGAGACAAGTAAAACAATATGTAAAACAATGTCAGATTAATTTGTGATTCATGTTTATTTGTATTTGTATATTTATGTATATATTTATAATATGTCTGTATGTGTATAACTATGTATCTTCATATTGTTAATTGTCAGAAGGCCCTGGGGAAGAATAGTGGTTGCACTAATCAGGTTACCTTCTTTAAATAAAGTATTATTATTATTATTATTATTATTATTATTATTATTTTAAAATATAGCTATTTAAAGCTATATAGTACTAACCACATTCATATACAATGTTTAGGCCTATATGACACATTCCGAACTATTGGAAAGACACTGTCTCTGATTCCATAAATGATAAAACTAAGCAGCTAAGCTAAGCAGACAAAATTTTACACCTAAATTAATACAAAATTACCGTCGATTTGGTAAATTTCGGGTCAACTTTAAAAATAAACATTTTCTGCACGTGTTTGTTTGTCCCAGAAATCGTTGGGCAATAATTGCGGACATTGTGGTTCTGAAGGGTGGTAAATAGACACCCTTCTCTGATGTTAGACTCCTTACGCAATACCGGAAAACGTTTTACTGACCGAGACCCATATCATATCATGCGCAATCAACACATCACGCCTCATATCCGGTTGAAATTTTGTTAGGAACTTCCGAGTTGAAAATTTTGGGCTAATAAAGCTCATTAATTATGGCCAGGGAATATGATCACTTATTTAAACTACTCATAATAGGAGACAGCGGTAAGAAGTTGTAGAAACATTCCCCTTTTTTTAATTGATTTCCAATTTGAGCAATGTAATCTCATCAATCGATGTAAACAAAGCTTAATAACTTCATTTTCTGAATTTCAGTTTTATATTATGCATAGAAAATCTTTCATTAAACCAATTTATCTCAACTAACTCATTATAGCTTAGTTGTTTGTAAGAAAACTACACTGGCATTTTTCTGAAACTCGAGTTTCCTCTGTCTTTTGAAAATGCTTCCAATTTGTCAAGGAGCTCGTTCTACATGTTATGTTCCTTAGTAAAAGGGATTTTATCTATTGTCTTTGACCTAACATCTTTTAGACAAGGTAGAATATTCATTGTCAAAATGATTTTGTCCAACTGGCTCGCTTTAACAGTGAGGACTTGTCCCGAGACACAGTTTGATTATTCTTACTATACTTTTGGACTACATTTAGACATATTCATTCAATATGTGGATGGTGCGACTGTAAGGACAAGCACAGAATGAGACACTTCTATTGTTTTAATTAAGATCAGGATTGTAAAACCGCAGGTGACATTTGGTGCCTATGGGTGCAACGATATGCCTAACCCACGATATGATATGTATCACGGTATTTAGTTCACGATACGATACGTATCAGGATACATCACATATTGGGTTAAAAAGTCAGCTGTTTGTCATCATATACTTTAAACTTAAAAGTTTTATCAAATGCTCATTACACCAACACTAGAAAAGTGATAACATCCTTCGACCCATTAATGCCGTTTCTGCAGTTTCATTGACCTCATGTTTCATGCGGAGCCATTTTGAAATTGTAAACGAGGAAGCAAAACAAACGATTGGGATAAATACGGACCGAGTGAATCAAACCGTGATATCAGTTTCACATATCGTGAGTCAAACGGTGAAAAAATAAACCACGGTATACCGTCAAACGGTTTATCGTTGCACTCTTACTATTGACGCTGATGTCACATGATATCGTATGTATAAAGTTGTATTTCCAAAAAGAAGCCTGAACAGTGGTGAAAGTAAATGAAAAATGTTGTTTCTTTTACTATTTATCTTCAATATATATCCATTCAATCAAGACATGTAAACTTTTTGTTGAACTTTTATCGTTATTCTCGAGAGAACATTGCTTTAACAAGTGATGCATTGTGGGTCCAGAGTAACTGCGGAAAAAATTGTTTGGATCAATGTGCAAAGTCAGAATTTTCTCTTTGCCCAGGCATTGCTTTAAGAGCTCATAGTGACGAGCGACACTTCACGCTGCTAGCTGCGCTTGCTATTATTATTCAAACCTACCATACACACATAGACTGTTACATACACTCAGTGGTGGGATATGTAGATGTATATATTATAGCTAGAAATTTGTTTTATAAAAGAATCTCAAAATGCATTGCCTCATACAGAAAACTCAAACTAACTGGACCAGTGAACTTACATTTACTGTTTTTACTGGCCCCTTAATTAAAAAATAAAATGAATACATTTTCATAACTGTAAATTTATACATGTTTACAACACCACCATTTTTCAAGTTGTTCGTTGGAAATTCGCCCATTTTACGTACTAGTTAATAGTTACTAGCTAGATCCGGTTGTTACGTAATACATCCATGTTTTAATATATATTAACAACACGTATATAACATATCAATGAAATTTATGCAAGTAAGTCAGTTAAGATATATATTGACTGTTTATGATTTTTATAATCAACTTTTCTTGTTTTATAAATCAAAATTCACTGGCAAAATGCAAGACTGTTGCCAATACTTTGCCAAGTTAGAATAATCTAAATCTGTCTTGGGACAGGTCCTTGCCTTATCCTTAGGATTCTTCTCATATAATGAACCAGAAAATTGCAAAACTACTCCTAAATGATTTTAGAGAAAATAAAATTACACACTGAAAATAACTGTCAATTTGATGGTGCAGATAGTAATACCTATTCAAATTTAAGGCTTTTCAAACTACACATGACATTTGGTGGTACATTTAGACTCGAACATCACAATCACATGATGTCATATGTAAGGTGCATTACCAAACCAGAGCCTGAACAATGCTAATTTTTATTAAAGAATGTCTAAATTACTAAAAATCCATTTAAGCAGAATGAGTTTATTTTTTTGTTGAACTTTTGTTGTTGTTACTATGAGAATATAGTTTGTGGTAAGATGCAATTTGCGAAAAATTGTTGGTCCAAAGGTTAGGCCATAATAAAAAAAATCGTAGGTTCTCATCTGAATTTTTGAAAAGTCAAGGCAGGCAAGCGGTTTTTATTTTATATTTTTTCAATTTTGTAGATTTTTTATTGACCTGGTCAATCGGTGTAGATTTATCTATAATGCCCGAATAAAAGTCATAGTAGAGGTCCATTTATCTCTTACTTCACATCATCACCAATTTTTCACAACCAATGACCCTTTAAAACAAAAGTAGAATGGTAGTTGAATACCAATCCTTATCAGAATTAAGACGAAGAAAAACAGAAATAAAAAGAATTGATGTGGGGGTAAAAAATTGGGGCGAGTGGGGATGAGAACCTAGGAATATTTTTATTATGGCCTTACCATGATAATTTTGTATGGATCAATGTGTCACCTGACTTAAGGTTATTGCCCATGCTTGTTTTGCTACTGTGCCAATGCATGGAACACATTCTATTTTTAAACTGGGTCAGTAGGATATTCTGTCTATTTCTAGCCATCTATCTTTCAGTTTATAATAAATAAATTTTACTTTGAATTCATATAACATGTATTTCATTACAAGGGCAGGAAATTTCCATAAATAGCATATTTACTGTTAATGATAATGTTAATAAAATTCTCGACTTCTCCAACATGTTCGAGTTATAACAGAAGTTCCTACTCATAACTGAGTGCTTACTTTTGTTGTGCTCAGTGGATAAGAGTCAATATTTGGCTCCCATTGGGTTGGACATCAAGTGCCCCATGAATTATGGCCCATGCCCCACATTAAGATTAAATTGTTCATATACTAGTATTGAAATTGCATTTTCAATTTTTTAAAAAAAATCTTTATCTGTTTTTACAGGTGTTGGAAAAAGCAGTCTCCTGTTGAGGTTTTCAGACAATACATTCTCAGGTATATAAATAATAAAAAAATATTTTCATTGAAAATTAAAAAAAAAATCTCACCCCCAGATAGATAAATACATAATTGGGGGTGGGGACGGGGTTAACACTAAATTCAGTTTAAATATTATACATAATAATTCAAGATTGAAAGTTGAAAGAATTATACAATTCTTTTGGAAGAAAGTATTGAGCTGGGGATCATATGACCTTAATGCTTCCTTAAGGAAGATATTTTTTTGCAATTTTTATTGTGAATGGGTAAAATGTCAGTAAAAATGAATTGAAAGAGATGTATGTGAGTTAAAAATATATTTTGCAAATTGAAATCGTAATATGTATTTTTTGTTTGTATAATTGTAGGTACATACATCACAACTATAGGAGTAGATTTTAAGATTCGTACAGTTGATGTCAATGGTGAAAAAGTTAAACTTCAAATCTGGGACACAGCTGGTCAAGAGAGGTTCAGAACGATAACATCAACGTAAGTCATTCAAAACAAATATGTCTATAAATTGAAATTTAAAAAAAAAAAATTGTCTGTATTAGTCATTACACACAAATTTTTCCATGTTAGTCATTAAAAATAAATTTTTCAATATAAGTCATTTATAACAACTACAAAAGTTGCATCCAATATGTCTATGATAATGTTAGTCATTAAAATCAAAATACCCCCGGGTATGTCTAGGCAGGTATCATTAAAATTGATTATGTCTATGTTGGTCATTAGAAACAGCTTTCTCTCTATAGACTGTAAATCACCTTTTATTCATAAGAACTTAATTTTTTGTGTAATTATTCAAGACAGTCTGCTTGAAAAATTTTTATTCTTGAATATACATGTATTAGTATTTCTATTTCTTATCCAAAGAAATTATATGACCATGACACATGTAATTTTGACCTAATGTATTAAATGTATATTAAGTGAAATTTCTTTCTTTTATAACTGTTAATGAGACTAAGGCTCTGATTAAATAAAAGCTATTGATTTTAAAATGCCTTTAGAAGTATGATTAAGACTTGCCTTTACCAGAGCAAGGGAATGACAGGTATTGATTAAGTCTTCCCTTTCTCTGGAGTCTTGATAAGTGAGCTCTTGCTGTTAATGAATCGTCTTAATTACTTCTCCAGGTACTACAGAGGGACTCACGGTGTGATTGTCGTGTATGATGTCACGAGCGGGGAATCGTTCGCCAATGTTAAGAGGTGGCTTCATGAGATTGATCAGAACTGTGATGTTGTTAATAGGATTTTAGGTAAGCAGAAGGTTGTGTGAGGCAAACTCAGATCAGGTGCACACTTGGCAAGCTTTACATCTCAAGTGAATTTCTTTCACAAAGTGTCCTTTTCATGTACTTTATATTTCATGGGTACTACTGAATAATTATATACTGGTAGTTTCTATCCTCAAAGGGGAAGTACTGTAGATTCCTTATTTTTGGCGAGTACTTTTTATCGCGAACTGGCTCTTAAACGTCAAATCGAGAGAATTATAATTCACGAACGTACAGTTCGTCAACAGATTTTACATAGGTTTCAGCACCATAAAAATAAAAGCGAGTATTATTTTTTCGCAAGTGATGATCCAAGCGAAATTACGCGGAAATTAATTCCTCGCGTATAATTAGGAATCTACAGTACTCTGTCAAGAAATGGTTAAAATTAGGAATTACCACTTCCTATATTTAAGTTGCAACAGTTAAAGGCTTAATGCTGATATATTTCTTGATATTTTCAGTGGGTAATAAAGATGATGACTCTGATAGGAAAGTTGTACTCACTCAAGATGCCCAGAGGTTTGCGGATCAGATGGGAATCCAGCTTTTTGAAACTAGTGCCAAAGAAAACAAGAATGTAGAAGAAGTAAGTTTTGCTGAAGTTTTCAGATGAATCATTCAAAAGCTTCACCAATACAGAAGGATGGTCTTGCAACTTTCCTACTGACTTGCAGCCATCTGATTAAAATAAATCTTCAACCAGCTCCTTAATTCTGATTGTCCCTAGGATGCCACAGTCAGAATAATGGATATTGTGGAAGGCTTGATTTTTAATTAGACTGTTACTGGACTTGCAGCATTAAATATTTTCAAGATAAAGGTAGGCACTTCTGCATTTCATTTAAAACCTAATCTTTCTTTCAGATGTTTTTAGCCATCACAAAACTAGTCTTAGCGACAAAAAAAGAACAAATGAAGAAAGCAGCAGAACAGCCAGCCGAGTCAATAAAACTGAACAAGAAGTCCACGGGCGGGGGAGGGGGCAAAATGCGCTGCTGTAAAGCATGAATGCTCATAGACCTAGTGTGTTAACGAATTCTTTTAACACTTGTGAAATAAGCTGATGGTGCAAGATGAAACATAGCAAAACAAATTTGGGGACTCGTAATATTCAGTGATAGAAGCAGTAGATTTCCGTGTTGTTCAGGTGAACTCCTGTGGCTTGTGTTGTCCTTGCTGTGGGAATAAAATAAAGAGACTGGATTTTTTAACTTCTGAGAAAATTTTATTACCATTATGACATAATTTTTTTTTATCAAGGTATATACAACATTTTTTGTATTATTGATTACTGTTGATTTACTATTGTTTGTTATTTTCTGATTTTCTTAAAAAATAATCATAATTGTGTTGTTATTTATTTCACTTATTATGTAACTCATACAGCATAGTGTAAGAATGTAAATTGTATGCACTGTCTTTAAATATCTGTTAAAATTATTGTATACTTGTAGATAGAACAACATGCATTCCCAATATTGTAGTTTTTTTTTTAATTTCAATTGCAATTTTTTTTCCTGTTTTCTCTCAGTGATCCAATGTGCTACAATCCAAGTAAATTTTGATATTTTTTTAATTGTTGTATTTTTTCACAGGGTTTAGAAGGTCTTATCACGAGTAAATATCATATATGCCTATACATGAATTGTATTTTGTGTTAATAGAACGAGACCAAATTTATCTTTTATTATTCATGCTGATATACATGAAACTACAAAATTAATGTAAAATATACTGGGTAAATTCAGTATTTTTTTTTTAGATACAGAAAAAGAATAATTTTGTTTATTTTATGAAGAAGATTTGTGATTCCAAACTTTAAACTAATGTATACTGGGAATTTTTCACACACATTTTATTTTCGCCCCTTTCACCCTTTTCGCCCTACCCTCATTTGGGCGAATTTAAAATGGGGCGTATTCAAAGAATACAGTATAATTTCGTAAATAAAACTATAAATGGTCGATTTTAAAACAGGTCAAAATTGTCTGAAAGTGTGAAAGGGCAAAAATGACTTGGGGCAAAAATAACCCTGTATACGTATAAACTCTATATTTGTTTTGTATATGTTCTGTAGTCAATCGTGACTGTAGATGGTAATGTCATCAATTTCAGAAATGGGTGGAGAACTGGCAAAATTATCCCATTTTATTGTCAGGGGTTCAATTTAAACATTACAAAAAAATATTACATAATAGTATGAGAAAATTTTGTTATTTGTACACATTTATTTTTTTCTGAAAAACTAATTTTTAAAGTTACCAGGTATCTGAAATGTTATTAGAAAAACATTTCATTTTTATTTCTTCAAATAAACATGTATATACATTTTCAATTTTTTGCAAGAAATGGGAAAATACAATTTAGTCTAAGGCTTAGGACTTAGATTGAAATACATATATGAGTATTTACAGATAAGAAGGGGAATATCAAATTGTGTGAAACAAAAGGGGGACAGTCATGTTGATTTATATTATTTAGCAAATATTTGCATTGTTACATTTTTGTAAAAGAAAAATTGTGTTTAATATGATGAGATGTTTTGCTCTAATTTTGCATCTAAACTTAAGAACTATAGTTCTGCGCAAATGCTTCCTTTTGTGTGTATGTAGTTTGATAGCATCTCATAATGCCAAACATAATGTGCAATCATGTGTTTTACGAATTCTGAAATGTTTCTTGTGCACACTAAGCTGCCATGGTCATGTTATCATCAAATGCCACTACAAGTATTTTTATTAATGGCGCTGATGCTAATTTTTTTTTTTTTGGCTGTGACATTTTGACTTTGTTTGATTTAATGCAAAAATGCTTGTTATTATTTTTAAAAATGGATGAAATATTAAGTTGGGAGGTACACGTAGTGATGTTCAGAGTAGTTATAATTTACTTTTGAACATATGAAAATTCCTGAGATTTCCCAACGGGTTATCATTTAAAGCAAGATTTCTTTTGTTGTATTAACAGTACTTCCACTGTACTCTCTCACAAATCACTCCGTTCATGAAGACTCATCATTTCTACTTATAAAAAGGGATTACTTCAAAAGACCTAATAGTGGTCACTAATGGTTTGTGATGAATTTTTCTTTTCAAATATTTCCTTTGTATTGTGTGATATTTTGCAAGCTGATTTAGTGGATTTCAGACAAACAGAAAAATCTGTAGCAAGTTTGTAGCGTGGCAGTATTGGTGTTTAATACAGAGTAATGTCCTTTGCATGTTTAAATCAGTTTATAAAGTAAATACTAGTAATTCTGCAACTGTTATAGTTATTAGTATTTATTGACATAGCAATAAGTATCTCTAACATGTGTCATGTATACATATATGTTCTAAAGAATCCTTAATAACTTTTGTGATATGATTTATTAAAACATGTATGAAGAATGGTTGCTCTATTTTAAAATGTATAATACATGTATAGTATTTATATACTCAGTAAATACAAAATGATAGTAGTTTACACTACAGTAGAGGAAATGTTTAAAAGCAAAATGTTACAGAATGAAAAACATAAGACCAGGCCTCAGGGCCATAAAACTTAAACGAGCTCACATTTGAATTCAGTGTCAATTATACAAAAGGATTGTTTAGTGAAAAAGTGAGACTGAGATCAAAATTAGCTTGGCTAAGTTTTATGGCACTGGAGCCTGATGAGTTGACAAAAGACTTGATCAATATTGATTACAATTAAGCTTATGGTTTACAAATTTCAGTGAAATCAAGTTATATAACTAGTCTAGTTGTATATTACTAAGGTACAAAAGTAATATCAGATATGAAAAGACAAGGATGAATCTGGAGATTCCTGTTCAAAATCCATTTGAATAACTAGCTGCTTTGTGATTTAAGAAAATTTTAGCTGAAGGAAGCTATTTATAAATGTCACTTGGCATGGTCAACTATATTGTTACATTTGGTGACTAGAAAACTTGGATCTCGTTCAGAATTTTGTTTGAGTGTGACTCGTAACAAATGTCTTTCTGACGTTTGTTTCATCGATTAGCGTTGTGCTACCTCTTCTGGGTACGGTCACGTGACTTCCTTCGCTGTGTGACCGATGCGTTTCGGTACCGCCAGTTTTGAACGCCTCCAGCATGCTTTTCAGGAACCTAGACATGTGCTCGTACTCCGGATTACGCTGCAATGTCGCTAGGTTAACGTTTGGTCTTGCACACAGCTGCAGACACTTGGTCCAGAGAGCAAAAAGCTTGTAGGTGTCGGAAATTTGGAGACACCGCAATAACTGATCATCTTTGACAGATTTCTCCGTATTAAGGGAATGTAGAAGTATTTCTTCGCATCTTTGTTTCAGATTCCAGATTTGGTATTCTTCTGCGATTGGAAGAATTTGGAAGGCAGTTTGATCTGGAAGCAAATGATAATGAAACCAATCAGTTGGCTCTGTCTAAAGTATGCTTTAATGATTGATTTAACAAAATCAACGATTGATTCAATGAAACTGGATATAATACATGTATTTCGTTTGCACTTCGGCATAGGCTTGCAGTGGTTTAAGCAAATGAGACACTGTTCTCTCTCTCTCTCTCTCTCTCTCTCTCTCTCTCTCTCTCTCTCTCTCTCTCTCACGCACAAACACACGTAAACAGAATTCAACATGGGACTTTTTTCTCCACGATCGCCCAAAGAATTTTGTCAAAACTCACGGACGAAGACTTTACAAAGCAGATGTAAATTAATCCTAAGGATCAAACAAATTTTAGTGCTTTTAGACAAAAAACGAATAAAGACTTAGCAATTGTGAGATTTCGGGATTTCTTACATGTAATCTTGATAGAGGTAGCGTTTTTCGGAGTTAACAGAAAGAGGATTTTCTTGAACAAGAATCACTCGGATATAAAATAAACTATAAAACTGAGCATCTAAACAATTTTCCTACAATTACCTGTCACTTTGCGTTGGTAGGCTGGATGTAGGATATACAGCAGTTCGTGGACTGTATCATACGACTTTCCCTGTAGGGGGAATTCTCTCTGGTCCTTCTGCTCTGGGGAGGCCAGCATTCGGGCCAACACTGGGGAGGACATACACAACAGACTCCTGGAGGTGTAGAGACGCTTCCTCTCCACAACCAACACAACATCCGTAAATCCATCCTCTTGGACGAAAGGAACCGGGTTCTTCTCGTCCCCTATTACGCGGGGTTTTTCGAAGTCCCGACTGGTAGATACAGCAGACAGTTTGTCATCACTTTGTCTTAGAGCTAGAGGTGTCCCTAAGATGCCTTTTCTGGCGGGCATGACTGCGCTTAGACTACTCATATCGCTCTTGGAGAGCGGCAAACTTTTGTCGCTCGTAATGAATTACACCTTTCATTTGTGTACCATTGGTATTTAATTTCTTTGGTTATATAGTTATCAAATGTTTACAAGTCACCTGAAAATAAATTAAGAGAGAGTAGCGATAAATAACGATATTGTAGAAGCCGGTGGGATTCGGTGCGCACATGAACTCGATAAGGTGGGAAATGAATTGCAGAAATGAGTAAGGTGGTTTTGATCTTTACATGTTGATGTTAAATGCTGAGGACTGTTTGTAAAGGCCCATTTCTGTGTACATTGTACTCATACCAAGATTTCCCGCCTCAATGAAGTTAGATAATTAATATCATTAAAGCTCCCCATTAACAATTGAACTTTCATTGAAATTGTGCAGCTCTTTTGCCACTTAAAAATCCCTGTTTGTAGTGTATATCGCAGTAGATAAAAAAAATTCTTTGTTCTTTTATATACTCCAGCTATGAATAAACACCTAAACGCAAGATTAAAATCAGATCTGAATACATTATTAATTCAGCTGTCGGTGCCACGGAGAAGGGAATTTAAAAAAAAATATTCCATAAATTGAAGAAATGAAAACAGTGGGGAAATGAATTGTTAACCCAGTACTTAAAAGGCAAAGTGAAAAATTTCTTTAAAGCCATATATGGCGTAACTGATCAAAAAAATATATTTTTGAAAAATACAAAATTAAGTAAAGAAATATAGTTGATACATTTAAATTAAAGCTTTTCATACAATTCTGAACGCGGAGAACACCTCGTTTCATCTAATAATACGATTTTATCTTCTCTGTAGTGTGTTATTTAAATCTTTTGTATTTTCTTCCGAGTCGGAGAAAATTCCGAGAATCCAAATAAAATTGTGATATCTTTATAAAGCAATTGACTTTGATTTTGTAATTTACGGAAAAGTTCTATCTTTATATAAAGCAATGATACAAATAATAAGTTCTTATAATTTTAGTCTAATAATTTTCAGTGTACATACGCCATATATGGCTTTAAACTACACCAGAACGTGATGGTATGTACAGGCAAAAAAACAACTGGGCAACAAAGATCGATGATTAAGATTGATTTTTTCTCTCTCTGTAAACAACTTCCTTTTATCTTTATGGTAATAACACCCGATGGTGAGGATTCAATGGCCACCGATGTTAGCCTGTTGATTAACCAAAATACTGCCTATATATGTGCTACCCCATTTGTACCCCTATGATATCGTTTTTGGATGGAGTCGGTGAAGGGAAGGGTGATATGAAAGAGCACAAGAATATCAGTATTTTTTTGGACATACATTCAATTTCTTAAGTTTGTACCCCCAAACTCTCCTATATCATTTCACTGCAAACTGACTCTTTTGTAGAATTAAAGAATGTAGAATTCATAATAACATCTGTGAATAAAATATTGTTTAAGTAAAACAAGAGGCCCATGGGCCTTATAGGTCACCTGAGCATTATGCAACAACTTTCCAGTGATTGAATTTGATTCATGTTTTAAGCCAGATGCTATGACATTCACAATTTTGAAAGAGGCACCATTGATCATCATAACTATACACTTAGCAGTTGCTTAGTTTGGTTACTTAATACCCATAGGCAGGGTAGGGGAACAAAAAATGCATTTCAGCTAATCAGTAATATGCAGCAATAATCAGTTGTGCCTTTACCACACATGAACATCTGACCCTTAGGCCTAGATCAACACATTGCACAATTTTTGATAATGGCATCCTTGCTTTTCAAAAATATTTGATTAATACCAAGGAGCAGATTTCAAACCATTCATTCATTTTCAGTATATAAGTACAGCCGCCCCCCCCCCCCCCTCTATGGTACCCCTGACCCTGGGACCTTGAAATTCACAATTCTGGAAGATTAGGGCCCTTGCTCTTAACTATATATGTAGTTCATCTGCTTAAAACCCAGGAGCAGAGAAGAAGATTTTCAAAGAATTCATGTATTTTCACTATATAATCAATAGAGCCCCACCCTAACACCAGAACCCCTGACCCTGGGGCCATAAAATTCACAATTTTGGTAGAGGCACTCTTGCTTATCATAAACTACGCACTTAGTCTATTTAATACCCAGGAGCAGAGAAGAAGATTTTCAAAGAATTCATGTATTTTCACTATATAATCAATAGAACCCCTGACCCTGGGGCCATAAAATTCACAATTTTGGTTGAGGCACTCTTGCTCAACATAACTATGCACTTAGTTAGTCTATTTAATACCCAGGAGCAGAGAAGAAGATTTTCAAAGAATTCATGTATTTTCACTATATAATCAATAGAGCCCCGCCCTACACCAGAACCCCTGACCCTGGGGCCATGAAATTCACAATTTTGGTAGAGGCACTCTTGCTCATCATAAATATGTACTTAGTTGGTTTATTTAATACCCAGGAGCAGAGAAGAAGATTTTCAAAGAAATAATGCATTTTCACTATATGCTTATTTAGCCCCGCCCTAGCACTAGAACTCCTGACTCCAGAACCATGAATTTCACAATTTTGGTAGAGGACTCAATGCTGAGTACAAACATGCAAACAGTTTGACTGCTTGATGTCCAGGAGTAAAGAAGAAGATTTTTAAAGATTGCATTAATTTTTGTGGTTTTGGCCCCACCTTTCAGGCCCCAGGGGGGCAGGGATCATGAAATTCACAATTTTTGTTCCCCTTCACCCATAGATGCTTTGTGCCAAATTTGGTTGAAATTAGTTGAGTGGTTGCAGAGAAGAAGCTGAAAATGTTCAAATAATAACGGACGACGCACGACGACGGACAATAGATCACCTGAGTTTACTCAGGTGACCTAAAAAAAAGATGAATGTAGTATTATGCACAGACAAACACACCATAACACAGAGAAGTAAAAGGTGTTTGTGAAACACTGGTGCCCCCGTTTGGCAAGTTATAGTGAAGATTAAACTTTATCAAATGCAAATCAAATATTCTGGTACCCTAAGAAAGGTCTTCTCACAAAAATTTCACTTTTGAAATATGGAAGCCCTAGCACCACTTGTTCAAATGCTATGGTCAAGGTTACAGTTTTTAAAAGTAGGTCATACTCCAAGGTCAAAGAGTCAAAGTTGTTGGTATCTAATGGAAGGTCCTGTCACAAGGATTACATATGTGAAGTATGAAAGCCCTAGCACCAACTGTTCAAAAGATATGGCAATGGTTAAAGTTAAGTAAATGCAAAACTGGCTCAGACTCCAAGGTCAAGGTCAAATTTAATGGTACCCAAAGAAAGGTCTTGTCAGAAGAAATACACATGAAAAATGAAAGTCATAGCATCAACTCAACCAATCAAAAGTTATTGGTAAGGTTCAAGTTTTGCGGATGAACAGACAAACAGGTTAACGCAGCCATTTTCAGACAGTCAAACGAAGACGATATAAAAAATGCAAAAAAACTAAAATATATGAATTTTTTCTTTGCCAAATGATAGTTGACAGCTTAAGATACCATATCTTATTAAGTAAATATTGTTTGACCCGCCAGCCTCCTTAACTAACAGACAGTCAAACGGACGTACAATGCAAAAACTTGGATTGATTAATTGTATATTGTTTGACGTCCCTCTCGATAATTTTTCATTCATATGGAGACGCCACCACTTGCCGGTGGAGAGCTGCAAATTTTGTTCTATACTCGGCACTCAGGGTCGTTGAGCACGAAGGGATCTTTTCCGTGCCAGCACCTAGTGCGACACGGGGCCTCATTTATACGGGACCCTCATCCGAAGGACCGGTCTCCACGTCTCACAGTGGGATTCGAACCCGTGACGTAAAGATCAACTCCTTACTTCACGACTCTAGAGCGGACGCTCTTACCACTGCACCACGCGGGCGACAAAAACTTCGATTATACGGAGGCATAAAAATTATAGAGTTATGCACAGACAAACACACCTTCACTGAAAATTTATTCTACAAAAATAAATTATTTGGTATCATAAAGAACGAGGGCGCTTTTGATTGGCATTCTGCAGGAATCTGGGCGTAATCGACATGTCACATGAGATTTTAACGTTTTGTTATTTACCGGGTCCTGTGCAATAGGAAAGGAAAATATTTTCCGATATTGAGCTTTGATTTGCTAAAAAATAATTTGAAAATTGGCCAGATCAGACATTTGGTACAATATCGTACATTGTTAAACACGTTTTTCTAAAAAAATTCTATCTCTGGGTCTCCTCTCCATGATTTTCAAACGTTATATATGTGTATTTTAATTAGAAAAAAACGAATACACATTTTTAAAAAAATAGAGAGAAGACCAAGAGACCACGAAAAATGAACTTTTCCCCAAAAATTCCAAATGTGTGAATGTTGTGCTTCTTTGTCCTTTTAAAATCGTGTCTATATTCATAGCGGTGATAGCTCAGTAAGTTGGGCTACCAGTGTTCAGTGCACTCGAAGCGAAAAGAATTTGGCTCGAGCCTTTCATGGGGCATTCATTTTTTTTTTCAAGCAAGCAACTATTTATTTTGTCAGTTTCGTTTTATGTACTGATGTATTAAAATTTTGAATAAGAAAAATTTTGATTCAGTTTGGTTCTCGCGCGAAATCAATTCCAATCTTCTATTCTATAATGTACATGTACAAGTATCATGCATATATGATATTATTGTGATATGATATTAATATTTTAGGTGTTTATCTTTTGTGAAACATTACTATGTTGTAGTATCCCTAGGAAAAACGGACATAAATGTTACAATCTCACAAAGTCTTTCAAAGTAAATAAAAAAACTTTGGAAGTGTTGGTAAAATCTGACCAGCTATGTTCAGCCAACCAAATCATGGACATTCAAACCATAAATGTTTCAACTGATTCCAACTGCAGATCACACGCCAAATGCGCCCGTCTTCTTTATAAAATAGCGTGACATATTTATTCATTTCTTATTGATAATTTATTATAATAAACAAAATGTAAATAAAAATTCGCAACAATGAATTAGTATTTTGTTACAGAAAATTGGTAAAATTTCATTTGTTACGACAAAAGATAACTGCTCAAAATTCGCGGTAAATTAAATTCAAGAAAGAAATACCTTTAGCTCTGTCGTCCGTCCGAAATAGAGAATCCAACTTTTAAAATCTTCTCAAGAACCACTGGGCTAGAAAAACCGAAACTTATATGGAAGCATCCTGGGGTGGTGTAGATTCTGTATTGTTCAAATCATGACCACATAAACCAGCATCAGGAGGATAAGTAGGATCAGGATAGAACTAGCATCAGCATCAGCATTTAAAAAACAGCATTACTTGGATCAGAATTAGCAAGTGAAAACAGATTACATTGAAATATAAATGGCTTAAAATAGCGATGCTGGAATTATCCACTTCCGGCAAAATCTTCGTTAATACTAGAACCACGAGGTAAGAAAATCTGAAACTTATTTGGAAGCATTAATTCTAAAGTATCCAAACCATGACCCATGGGGGTAGGGCGGGGTCACAATAGGTATTAATTACAAGGGGGAAATCTGGTAAAGAACAGCATGGCCAAATTACTCGGGTGAACGATGTGACCCGTGGGCCTGTTGTTCTTTTAACTGCTTGTAAAATCAAGGTATAAACCGAACATTTCGTAATTAAACTATATATCAGCGAATTAAATTCAATTTCATATAGGCCGGAATCATCACGATTTTTGAATCTCCACATGATAATTGGACACACACTTTTTTACTCAGTTAATAAATTCAGTTAAGGTATGGAAAATGTCCTGAAGCTAGTCTTATGACACGGGTAATTGTTTCGGTAATAGATTTTCAACTCATTGTTTAACAATAACACAAGGTATCTAACTCCGAATTACACGGACGTAGTATCCCCCACTCCGAATCGTACTCATTTACTCTGACAAACTGTTTATACCTATGTTTTCTATGATAATATACACAACCATGCTTGTCTTTATTTTCTTTAGTCTCCGTAAATAGCGTTAAATTTCTGCCGATTGGAATTGTCGAATTCAACCAAATAATAATTTGGAGAGAGAGAGAGAAACGAAATTGTTACTCGGCTAATCTTTTAGACTCGTTCTTACAATATAATTACCACTTCCAATTCTTATTTAACAACTTCGATGATCTTTCACGTAACCAAGGGTTGGAAAGGTTAAATGTTCAATAAACTCAGACACACTATGCATCTTTTAATAAAAAAAAATAAATAAATAAATAAAAAAAAAACAACAAAAAAAACAACGAGAGATCTTGCCCTAATAAGCCATCATAAAATTTGCGTTTCATTAAAGCCGATAACCATTTTAAACAGCTATGATTTTCAAATTATTGAATCGTGGGTGTTCATTTGTACTTTTTCCAAGAATTTATAAATATATTTTATTCTATAAGAATTTAAAGGAAAACTGGTTGTTTAAATTAATTAAGAAAGAAAGGGGTTTAAAATATCCTTTATGTCGGCCATTTCCTAGGTGTCAACAGAGTGGCTAATTTATTGACAGTATTGACTAACAAGAGGCACTGATTAAGATCTAAGTACCCGCAGTACATATTTGTAAAACAGATCAAGTCATTTATCGTGTTTTCCATGGCGAACACAATCATGCGTGTTCGAATTTACCTCGCAGATATATGATGGATTGCCTTTTTAAAACGTTTAATACTGGCAGCTATAATGTTTATAATTTTTCCTTAAATACAGAAAGGATTAATTATCAGCTCGCTCAAAAGTTTGGTTTTAGTGAAAATTGAAGACAGAAATAGAGCCTAGTCATTACTAATTTGTAAACATTCATTTTGGTTGTGACAGCGCACCGTCACTTTTCCCACGCTCAGGTGTAAATAGCCTTACGTTTTGTTTACCTGTCCATATGGACTATCTTTTTACTATGCTCAGACAGGTAAGATGTCTTACAAATACTAAACTTCTTTGAGAAAATATCATTATTGGAACAAATGACCATATCTTCAATGGTATTAGAAAAAAAGCAATAAAAATATGTTTTACTTAATAAACAACATAAAAATCGATATTTTTGGTCTCCATTAGGTAATCATCTAATCACCTCCTGCGTCGTTGTAAAGAACATCAATTGAACTGGCATTACAGCAGCACGGTAAAGTGAACCCAACCTGACCAAGTATTACTCAGAATTTGTTATAAATTAACAAAATGAGATGATAATCATCTAAACTCTGACATCATCACCATCAATATTCTTTCCGGAATTTTCAGCTTTGAAACATGTCAAATGTGTGATTACAGTTTAGAAGCGGACGACCTCTCTCGTGATTACGGGGACTTAAAAGAGTACAGTGTGAGTGGAGACAATATGGCGGAGGGCCCGGGGGTCGGGGAGGAGGGGGGATTCTTGGGGGAGGAAGAAGAGGAGATGGATGTCTATGCCCAGCTGGAACAAAAGCAGAAGGATTTAACCCTGGCTGCTGAATTGGGGAAGGCTTTACTGGAAAAGAATGAGGATCTGGAAAGAAGAAATGAACAAATCATGGAGGAGTTCGCTCAGAAAATCGAGGTAAAGATTTTTTTTACTTTCTATTAAGATCCACTTAGTTATTGATCAAAATTTATCGTCCCAGTTTGTGCCATATTGCATCATTTTCTGTATATATATGAATATTGATTTACTTAGTTTCCTTATCATTTTGCATAAAATAGAACCTTAATTTATTATATCTTTTGTGGCGACAGACATCCCTAAATCATTATATGCCTTTGATGAACCAACTTAATGAGTCTCTTTGATTAGTATGTGGCATATTGGCAGTTATTGTCTGTAAAAGACCCCACTCAATGTGTTGACCTGAAGTCATCACGGTTATTGCTTTGATATTTGTAACGCTCTTATAATTACTTTGATATGATCCTTTGATCCCCCCTCCCCATTTTCATCTCTTTAAACTGTGCCTATAAACTGTGCCTATCTATTTCTATTTGATGTTTATTTTGCTGTTATTTTTTTGCCACAATTTTAATTATATGTATGTGTTACATTTGAATGCATGAAGTTTACAGTACAATAACTTCCTTAATTAACATGCTTAAAACCTGTAAATATTGTATGTAACATTTCATTTCCACATGTTTAAAGGACATATACATATATACTTTCTAGAGTCCTCTCATTTATGTTATTTTAGAAATATACAAACATAGTGGGTTCTTAAGCGGGTGCAAAATTTGCAGTTTTCCTTGCTCAAGGGTCTGCCAATAATTTTGGCAGAACTGTTTTTGGTGGACACTATATAAGTTCCATAGCATTGTAGAAGGGAAAAAAATCATCTTTTAGATAAGTTTTTAGTACATTTCTATATGTAAAATATTGATATTACATAGGTGTTTGATTAAAACCAATTCCATTTGAAAGATGTAATTGTTAAACAATCTGCAAATCAAAATCAACTTCTTTTTGTTTAGTACTTATGCACAAGGGTTCATATTCAGTGATTAAAATTTTAGTGGATTACTTCAAAACTGCTAAAATAAGCCAAAATTAGCACCTCACTTAAAGTCTTGCTATAAGGTATATAAAAATCATTGCATTCAATTTTTTTTGGACATTTTGAGTGTGTCTTACATGGCCAGGGCATCTGTTCAATCTATCAGATAGCTGAAAATCTGAAACATATTCTGTACCCTCTGATTTAGAATAAGGACCTACAATGTATGGTTTTGTTGTGAAAAAATTCTTTGGACTCATTTCAGGAACTAGAACAAGAGAAATATGAACTGTTTCTCCATTTGGAGAAAAATGAAACTGAATATAAGAACAGCATTAAAGAGCTACAATATGACATCAGTCAACTAAGGGAAGAGCTTCAGTCTCAACGACACCAAAGGTCAAACAGTGTCAAAGAGAGTTCAGTGGCAATAAGGGACTTAACTCTGCAGAATGAGCGACTGACAGAGGATCTAAGAAACGCAGCAATAAAGGAAAGGGAACTAGAATCAGAGAACCAGAATCTGAAGGAAAAAATCACGGCTAGGAGTTCATCCATGCATGTTCATGTTGGACAGCTGGAAGCCATGCAACAAGAGGTATAATAATCAGCTGTTGTATTTCTTTTTTTTATATTTTGTACAGTTTTGAAAAAGGAAAAGATGTTCTTCTTTATTAATTGAAATAGTCGATACAAGCTGAAGCATAAAATTCAGACAATGGACCTTTGATAGTGAATAGAGATCTAATATATCATGCAAGAATTAAAGTATATATTATTAGGTCTTGTATGTGCTTGAAAACATTTAATTTCTACTCAGAACCCGAGTCTTTAGTGAAGGACATCTTTTCAGTAACCTTTTTAAAAAGAATTTCAGAAGCAACTTGGCTGGTCAGGTGTTACCTGGTTGAGATTTCAAAATAGGGATTATGACATTTCTTTGTCTTTCTGATGTTTGCATAAACCATTGTTAAAATTAAGATGAAAGATACTTTAATGGCAAATGTCATGTAATAAAAGATGCAAATTGCTGACATCCCCACCAGAAATGTCTGCTGGAATTCCTGTCTGTTTTATCTGCAACATTAATTCTTTTCAGTTTAGCCAAAGCACTCCTAGGAATGGAATTTTTACAATAAAATAATACAAGTCTAATTGCTCTCGATTTCCTTTATGGAAATGAGAAATCGGTATATTGCATGGCTTTAAGGACTCTAAGTCTGTAGCTTAAATGTTTGCAATTGATCAAATACCTGAGAGGAAGGACATTTGCCCAGAGGCTGACAAATTATGAATTATTTTCTTTCAGATTAACGAGCTTCGGACAAAGCGACAGGAATTGGAGAAGAGACACAGTATTGTATCGGAGGAGAAACATGCTCTTGCCTGTAGCCTGGAGGAAGCTCAAGAACGCATTCTAATGCTAGAAAAGTCCAAAAGGGAAATGGAACAAACTGTAAGATTCTAAAATAAAATATACACTTGTATATGTTTAGAAAGCACCTCTGATATCAGTATATTTTCTTAATATAAGGGCTTAGGCATGTTGGTTGTAAGAAAACAAGGGGGTATTAGATGAAAAGGCAGAACTGAATTCTTATTTTAAATTTCATCATTCTAAGGTAAAAATGAAGCAGATCAGTATTAAAAGAGTACATTTAATGTACCTGAAATTTTTATTTATTTTTGCATGAATTGCCACACCATAAATGCACATTATTTAATTCTTCATTTGTCATATGACCGCACCAAGTTTTAGATAAGCATGTCTTTTTTCCTTCCTGTTCTATGTGTACATAATTGTAGCATAGTTCCCACTTGTAACACAAAGTGTATAAAAACGATGGCTCCAATATTGATCCAATCTCACTGGGATTAATGTTATTCACTCCATGTCAGGCTATTTTTATGGAAATGACACAAAATGGCTTTCTATGACATACCACGCATATACCATCTGTTTCCTCACGAGGGATGTTCTCAATGAAAGGTGTAGTGTATTCAAATACCAAACACCTAAAATATCACACAGGGGAAATATTGTAATGTTATTAATGCACCACAGTCCATACTTTCACTAAGAATACATGCAATGACAAATAAATAGCATTTGTATATCATGCATATATAATTATAAGATTTTTATTAGAATGTAATGCTAGTAAATGCAATCAGGTTAATGAAAAGATTGAATTTAAAACTAGGCTTGTTATTCGAAATATCATTTTAAACAGATCAAGTCTAAATAAACAGCATACTGACTGTGGAATTATCAGTGTTCATGAGGGACCAATTTTTGTTGATTTTTGTGGGTCACCCTTACCCATGAATTTACATCCCCATGAACATTAATCTTGTAAACATTATATCTACCGTATAAATGAGTAGCCCACAAAATTACATCTCAACAAACAAGTAAAATTTTTCTTGCCCACAAACATTAACCCCCATGAATTATAAATGAGCAATGAGCTCCACAGCATGTCACAATATAAAGTCAAAGTTTCACAAATCTCCTTCAGTGGTTTGAATTTCAATCTGTTCCATATACCCTCCCACTTTTCAAGTGGGGGGTATAATGATTCCACAGCATGTCTATAAAGTCATACCTCCAAATTTCAATCTGTTCCATGATTCACTGATCAGTATATTATAGTTATTATCTGGGTCTTCCTAATTATTCCATGCCTTGTTTTGTAGGTCCAGAACCAGGAGCGAGAGATTATAGAAATCCAAGAGACTAATGTCCAACTCCAGAGCCAACTTCATCATGTGTCTACAAACCTAGTCAGTCCTAGTCAGCCCAGTAAGACCCAGTCTCTGTCGTTATTTAACGAGATTTCTCAACTGTCTCCGGATCATCTCTCACCTGTCACCTCACCCGAATCATCAAAAACAGTGAGTTATTGTCTGGAACATTTTTCTGCTGGTTAGTTTAAGGTTACATGGAAGTGTTGAATTATTGAATTAAATCTGCTGTGAAATAAAATTTCAAGAACTTTACAATATACATGTAATTCAGTCTGATTAAAACCTTGTAATGAAATTTTATTCATTAGAGTTACCTCCCTTAAAATGCTTCTTTTCAAAATACAATGTATTCTGTAATATGCCAAACCCATATAAAATGTATAACTTTAATTCTCTCACATAGCATTTGAATGTATATCTTTTAAATTCTCTTCCATTGATATCTTTTAACAAACAATGTTGAAACTGTCAGACTGGTTATTTTTGACACACCTCTAATTCTGCTGTTTTTCCGCCTTCAGTTCCCTGTGGACTCGGACACCAGTGGGGGGTCCTTCTTACTGGACCTGATGGAGGAGGATGAGTATGAGTGTGATGACGATGACCTCTATCTGACCTCTCCACAGCTCCCTCTACACTCCACCCACACAGATTCTCAATTCCTAGAAAACTTCCAGTATTCATCTCAACATTATCAAGCAAATAAAGAGGTACAGGTATTATTATTTTATTTAGTTACTTTTCAAACAGAAGTTAAGCTGGCACCATTGTTCATATTTAAAGAAAATTTAGCTGGAACTGTAAAGAGGTACTTTAATAATTGAGTATCATTACAGTTTTGGTAATTCCTCAGGGAATTATATATGTGATGCCTAAGATTATCCCCCTTTGGCATTTTGTTTTATTATATACCTAATGTGTATCACTCAATTTTACTGTTGATTTTATGCATTCACAGTTTTGGGTTTTCTGAATCCATATCACCACTCTCTGAAACTGATGACGTAATATATATATTAAAAAGTCCTTTCTTTTAATGCTTTGTTTATTGGATTCATAATATCATTACATTGATCTCTAAAGGATTATTTTAATATATTTAGCCAATTATAAGGGGGTATGTAATAAATTTATCATTATAACAGTAACTTGATCCGAAGAGCTGTATCACATCTCGTTGACAGGCGCGGATTATCAGATCAAACTCGAGGCTTCGCGTCTCATTAGATCTGATGATCCGTGCCTGTCAACTCAACGTGATACGATCCTTCGGATCAAGTTACTGTTATAATAATATATATTTATTTTGCAGTTTCATGATGAACTAGTCAGCGTATATTGCCAGTTAAAAGATATGTGTGTTAGTCTACAACATAGACATTCAAATTCATACGAGTGCTCAGATTATACATTGTGTGAGGATCTTCGTCCTGGTGTTATATCAGATCTGCTGCAAGAGTTCAAGGAATTGATGCAGGATGTTCTAACCTTTAAACCTACAGTAAGAATTTAAAATTTGAGACTTTTTATGTACCTGTAGTAAATTTTAATATATGTATAGTACTAGTACAAGTTCGCCTCCTAGGCTTTTAAAGTTGTTTTGCAGTACAATGTACTGAATTTGAGGGAAATCACTCATCACTTTGTTTAACGTCCTTTTACCTACCATACAGTCAAAAAAATTCAAAAATTATTCTAGTTTCATATAATTATTTGATATTTATTGAGGATGTTATGTTTATATTTTCACAAGATTGTGGAGGAATCTCAGGTGTGCTTTGATGGAGATGATTTAATATCTGTATCAGAGCTCGGCCAACATATCAGAGATCTGAAGGAGGAGCTGAGGGGGACTCAGGGGGATCTCAACCGGCTCAAGCAGGAACTGACTCAGAGAGAAGCCCAGCTCGAGCAGAAAACTCAGGAGCTTAAGAATCTCACAGGAAAGGTATTTTGTGTGATCACATTTATCTATTAATAAAAGGGGAGGGGCAAAAAATTTGTTTTGTTTCACATTATTCAGGGACTGTAATAAGATATTGATTCAGGACAGTAAAGATTTTAATCATTATAGAACATTATTGTTTTTGGTCTCAAAATTTTCTTTTGGAAGTACCTGTACGAGGGTTGTCCAAAAAGTTCGTGGACAATGACGTTTTTTTTGAAAATAAATGGTTCTATATAAATCTGTTTTACATCAAATATTTCTTATGAAAAAAACAAATCAGAATGATTTAATCTTTATTGATGGAACATAATATTTTTGTAAAAATTGGGGTCTTTAAAGGTTCGGATAGTGCGCACGGACCAAGATTAATATACTTAGTGTATAAATTTCAGATTGGTATGTACGATTTTTCAACGATGTGTACAAATTCGAAGACACTACAAGAATTTAAAAACACATGTAATTTACTGAAAATGGAGATTTCTATTCATGACGTTGTTAAAAATCTAGCGCAGCGTCGGACTTGGCTGTGCAGTTTGTGTATAGGCCAAAAAAAATTAATCAATAGTTTCTCAGGCACCGCCGCATCAGTTAAAAAACGGCCGCATTGATCAATTTTATTGACATATTGAAAAGGGAAATAACTCAATTTTCTATTTTTCCAAGTTGAAAAAGAAAATTGAGTTATTCCCCTTTTTGTAAATGCTAAGATAGACGTTTTTATTAGAAAAACAATACATTTCTTCTAAATTTTCAGTATTTTATAAATTAACTTTTAAATAAATGTTTGGAGTAACATTATTTAAAGTTAAATACATATTATGACCAATTTCAGAGAACTAAAATTAAGAATAGGTAGATATTATCATTTTATTGAACAAATGGCTTAAAAAAGGTGTTAAACCTGCTTCAAAAAAAAGAAAAAAAAGAAGCCTGCCTGCCGCATTGAATTTTGATTTTTTTGGCCTGAGAAACTATTGATTAATTTTTTTTGGCCATATAAACTGTTTATTTAGATGTTGCTTGTAAATTTTTGTGCATTGTTTTGAATTTTAAAAATAAAATAAATTAAAATCTATACTTAAAGATTATTGCTAGCACTAGTCTTGGAAGTGCATAGCGCTTTAAAAAGAAATGAAGTGTGTGTCCATGTACATGTGTAAAGTCAAAATCCAAATTTTGACTTTATAATGAAATTAGCTAAAAGTCAGACTGGTTCGTGCGCACAATCTGCGATCTTTAAAGACCCGATTTTTACAAAAATATTACATTCCATCAATAAAAATTAAACCATTCTGACTTGGTTTTTCATAAGAAATATTTTGAGGTACAATAGATGCATATAGAACCATTTATTTTGACAAAAACTTCATTGTCCACGAACTTTTTGGACAACCTTCGTACAATGTAGTTAGTTGTTTCTCATTGGTCATGTGCAATTTAGGATTTTCCTGGTCTTTTTTGTTGTCATAGGTCTCTATCTTAGAGGTAAGCATTCACCCTCTATTTGTTGTTCTCCTTTTCTGTTTGATTAAAATGGAGGAAATTATAGTCAAAAAAAGCATATTAAACATACAAGTAGCATCTTTATTGTACTCAGATTAATTTGCTGTGTTTTAATTTCAGGGCTTGCTTTTTCATTTCATTTCTAAGCCATTTAAATTTTTTCTTTGCCCTCATGTATGTTACTGCTGGCTTTTCCTCTAGCCAGAATGAAATTAAGTTTCCTGAATAAATTTCAAGTTTACTGTAGTTAAAAAATGTGTCATTAAAGGAAGATAGTTCCCCTTAGTCTTGTATGCTTTTACATGCAGTTTATGCCTTCAAGCTGTAATCTTTTAAGGTACAGACTCAAACACTTATGGTTAAGTTGCATTCCAATGTAATATTTAAAAATTTTGAAACTATGAATTGTACATACTGTTTGTCTTCAGATTTAATACGTGATATGACTTTTCCAGTTGACACTTCAGCACGAGGAATTTTCTGCTGGTCAGCATCAGCGGGACCTCCTACACACTGCACTGTTGACAAAGGGTCAGATGACCGAGCACGAAATCATCCAACAAGCTCGACAGGAAAGGGACTTTGCAATAGAAAAGTATGTGAGACAAAAACATGAACTGGCACATTAAGATAGCTAGCATTGATTGGGGTTTCTAAATTACGGAACATATAGAGGATATTCAATGTTTTGTAGTTGAATATGCAATTTATTTCATGAGTGGGACAGGATTTTTTATATTTTCACGAGTGCGAAGCACGAGTGAAAATATCAAAAATCCCGTCTCACGAGTGAAATAAATTCCATATTCAACTACAACACATTGAATTTTCTGTTTATTACATTTAAAAAATTTTTTTTTTCGATTTTTCCTTTCTCTCTGTATTTTTGTAATACAGTCATAGACTCGTGACGTCATAGTTGAGCGGTTGAGACGTCATAGCTATGTGAGGTGAAAACACTGTAAACATGGATTTAGCAACAAATGATTGGTAATTTTGACAGTTTTATTCGTTGTCAGAATGGTTTATTTATTTCCATCTATTTTATATTAGATCAAGGGAGATTTTCTTTACAGCAATCTTCGTTATGGGAAGTGAAATCGAGAGTTTTCCCGCACTTCTGATATTCGTCATGTGCACTGTGACAGGATATCATTTTGATATCCTTTCACAGTGTGACAGGATATCATTTTTATTCAATGAATAAATTACAGTATTTCACGGGTAAAAATGTAATAAATCCCATTATTTAATGTCCCCAGGTCCTTTCAGATTTTTAGATGATATGGATACAAAACATTAAATTATGGTATTTGATTTTTAATTTTCCTTTCAGAAAAAATAAAATGGAAATAGAATTGACAGAATCCAGATTTGAATTATTGAATTTAAAAGATCAATTAATGGAGACCATGCAGCAAAAAATGGCATTAAGTCAGGAACTAGAACAATGGCAGGTAGGTAAATTTAATCAGGATTTTTCACCAAGTATTTTACAAGTATTTGAAATATGGATTGATTTAGGTAAAATTATTTTTCAGTTGATGATGTTTTATTTTTTTTTAGAGTGATATGGAACACTTATTTGATGTTCATATTGAGAAAAACTTTCAAAAGGACACTGAAAGGAAACAGTTTTGTCAAGAGTTAAAAGAAAGCATGCAGGGCATGAGAAAATCCAAATCTGCTATTAATTTCTCCACATATCACTAGCAGACTTTAGAGTTGTATAGGATCAACTTCAACTTAAATCCACCACTTTAATGTGACAACAAAACCGAATGTCTTTCAACAAAGAAAAAAAATGTCTGGAATTTCTGTCTCAATGATCTCAAAACTTTAAGAATAATGCTTGTAGCTGTAAACTGTTTCACAATAACCATTATATAACTGTAGTACTGCTCTTTTGCTGGACAAAATGATATATTTTGGTAAAATGATATAAATGTTCTTTGATTATATGCGAAATGAAAACAACTTAAATTATTAGTTTGCCCTGCAAAAGAGAACCTGGTTAGTGTTTCAGTTAATGTGAAAGGACTAAGTACAGCAATATTAGAATATCATTTACCAGGTTAAATAAGGGGTAATGCTAATATACTGCCAGTTATACATGTATATCAAAACATGCCCGTGGATCCAGATATGTTTTCATTAACAATTTGGATGTATTATTTAATATTTTCTATGTGATGAAAACTAAACATTGTTTTTATCATATACACTTGTGCTTGCCAATTTTTTGTTGCAATATTAAAAAGTTTTAACCTATTTAAAATGGCTTTGATTTTAAAATTGTGAAGCTAATGACAATATATATATAAATATTCCATGTTGTTGAGGGTAGCATTACATATTTTCACTCACAAGAAAATCTTTGTCATATGATGCACAGCATAGGTTGATAATGGTTTTAGAGTGGTGAAAATTTTCAGTGTTGCCCTCAACTAATGCAATATTTAATATACTTAATGTTTAAGAAAAAAATATCTATTAAGTGAACTTTATTTATGCATATAACTTTGTGCAATCATCACATTCTGAATACTCTTGCCAAGATCACTTTAACTTGGGTCTGTCTGTCCATATGCTACAACTACTGTGGAATCGTTAAAATTTTCATGGATTGCTTAAATTTTACAGAGATCATGGGATATGTAATTTCGTGTATTCACTCGTATCTGCAAGGAAATATAATGTGAACCATAGTTTATTAATTTGCATAGGATGTAAATATGGATGAAGGGTATCATGTGACCATTAAAAATTAGGGATTTGATATTAAATATCCCTATTATGGCCCAACCCTACCCCTGTGGGTCATTTAGAATCTACACTACTCGGGATACTTCCATATAAATTTCAGCTTTTCTAGCCCAGTGGTTCTTGAGAAGAAGATTTTTCCTATACATTTCAATGTAAAACTTAGATTCCCTATTGTCACACTGCCTTACCCCCAGGGGTCGTGATTTGAACAATTTTGAATCTACTCTACCCCAGGATGCTTCTGCATAAGTTTCAGCTCTTCTGGCCCAGTAGTTCTTGAGAAGATTTTTAATGACCCCATCCTATTTTGGTCTTTTCTTGATTACCTGGTATCTCCCCTTGTAAGGGGACTTGGCCCTTCATTTTAACAGTTGAGCGAAAATAGGTGACTTGTTGCCATGGAAACAGGACCAATTGATTACTTCCAATAGTATTTTTGTAAAATGGGGTAATTATTTCATCAAATTTCAACAAAATCCATGACAATCAATTTCCAGCCCATTTTGATGCTTACAGAGAACGACTCTTAAACTCCTCTTTACCCAAGGATGGTTTGTCCCAAGTTTGGTTAAAATTGCCCCATAGGTTCTTGAGAAGAGTTGAAAATGTGAAAAGTTTACAGATGGACGGACAGACAGCTAGAGGTTTGGAGTGGACAATGGACAAATGGTGATCACAAAAGCTCACTTCAGCTTTCAGCTCAGGTGAGCTGAAAAGTGACCAAGTTCCCTCATAAAAAAGAGAAAAGATTTTGTTAGAGATTCCACATTTATACATAAAACTTCAATGTGTAAGATATAAAAATTTCAAAGTAATTATATTATTTCTAAAAAGTAAAGGTCCACTTTTTATTACCAGGTAGTCTTAAAATGTCTCTCATCTACACCATTCCAAGTTTTTTTTTTTCTATGTTTAGCATCTATAAGCTCTTTGGTTTTTGACATCCAATATCAAGAAAACAAACAAAATCATATTAAAGTCCAACAATGTTCAAAAATTGATTATTCTGGTTCAAATCTTTAAATTCTGTCATTTTTTTCTAATGATATGTTTACAATATATCATATTAGGTACCGGTATATTGTACATATGAAATACCTTGACTTTGCTATTAATTAAAGAATAGTTTATAGGCAAAAAATACATTTTATGAAATCAAATTTATTGAATGACATTATTTTCATGACTATAAACTCAGTGCTTTACTTTTTGAAACGTTTTTTTTGCAAATAGATAGGAAGGTTTTTGAAAAAGTTGGATACTGAACATAGAAAAATACCGTACATATACATTTAATGTACTTGGAGTGGCCTTCAAATAACACAGAAAAGTGTATGCCAAAAAGATAAAATTCATGTGCCAAGTTTCTGACCATTCATGACATTAATCACAAGATTTTTGGTAGGGTTTCAGTCAACCATACTATACATGTCTCCTGGCATTTCAAAGTGTTCAAGTATTTGATATAAAACTATACATAAAAATCCTTGTCACTACATTGTATTTGTTTGTAGAAAACAAGTTCATCCATTAAAACATCAAATATCATGCAGTATGCCAATTTTCAGCCTCTATTTTCCTTCAAATATAGATTTGACAGGGGAGATAAAATAAGTGTCCAACGTCTCCCACAGATTCTTCCCGAAGCTCAGTCTTCCTGCACCTGATTTCTTATTACCAGAATCAGGTTTTGACATCTCCTGGAGTTTAATGTCCTCCGCAATTTCTTCTCTTTCAATTAAATGTCTGTCTTTGACAGGGAAGTTGACACTTTTATTTCTACTTGCATCCTCTTCATTGATTCTGTTAAACCTGCTCAAGGGTGTAAAAGATGAATTCATATTTTTCCTCTGATCTTTTAAACCTAAATCCACTTGTGGACTGAGAAATGAGTCTTTGAAGTTTAATTGCTGCGTCACATCATTGGGTGGATCAACAAGAGAACTTTCCAAACTTGGCAGATTCAGAAGAGGGGCATCAGTGCCCTTGTACAAGTTAAGTCCTTTCTTCTGTCTGCAGGACTGTTCCAGAACAGACACATTTACAGTTGTGTTAATGCTCTTTTTAGGCTTTTTCATTGCTGTGCCCATTATATCTGCAACTTGCCCATCTTCCTCTTCCACAACATTTAATGTTGTGTGGAAAGACTTGCCCATATGCACTGACTTGTCACCTTTCCCAGTGTACGTTTTTTCTAGAACACTCTCATTTCCTCGGTTTCTTTTCTTGGCGGACATTTCTGTGAGCACATTAAGAGGGATGTCTCCGGAGGTATTAAGGCGAGTTTCTGGTGATTGTACAACAATGAATCTAGTTTCATTCAGCCAGTCTCCTTTTGATTCTGGTTTCCTTTTTGCCCTTTTTCTCCTTTTTCTTGAGGGATCATTTTCACTTCCTTTGTCAGAATTGCTGTGATCATCCTCAGAATTTGAAGAGGTCAAATTCTGTTCAACACTTGGTTTCTTGGTACCCCTTCTTGCTTTTTTTCTGGGGTGATGCTTTTCAGTATCAGAATCTTCATTTTCATCCTCAGAAGATGAGGTGACATTCTGATCAATGCTCAATTCAGAAACTCTATCTTCATGGGACCTCTGTCTTAGATTTCTCTTTGGTTTCCACTGGCGAGATGGAATGCATCTGAGTGGCTTTTTTCGTTTCCGTAATATTGATGAATATCGTGTGTCATTCTGACTTCTTGCCTCCTCCTTCTGGGTTTGCTCCTGTGACAGCTGACTGCTTCTACTTTGGACCCTCCTTGAACTTCTTGTGCTGGATTTTTGAGTTGTTTTATTATCTTCTGATAAACAATGCTCTGTTTCTTTCTCCTTTACTTTCAGGTAGCTTTTCTTACAAGTCAAAGTTACTTCAAATAAGAAAGGATATACCTTCAGTGCTTTTCCATTCTTCCTAAATGTTATTTTTTGAGAAATTTTCCAAGGTTTTCTGTTAAAGGTCACAACAAAATATTCGCTGCAAACCGTCTTCAGAATTTGATTTCGCTGAGACAGGTATATTAATCCTCTTAGTACTTTGTCAATGTCTTCTGCAGTTTCTGGAAAAAAAAATGAATACCGATATTTACCAAAAGACTAAAAATAAGTCTAGATAATTTTTAATGTTCTTCAACCAAGGGCTTATTTTATGCAAGAACTTACAACTAAGACCAGTTTTTATGCGCCCGGATCTATAGATCCGAGGCGTATATTGTTTTTGTCCTGTCTGTTTATCTGTTTGTCTGTTGTCAACTTGAACCTTCACCATAACTTTTGAACCATGAGAGATAGTTCATATGGTATGCATACTTCACCAATGAAGGTCTTTTAAATGACACCAAGGTCAATGACCTTGTGACCTTGACTGTGACCTAAATGCTAAAAATAGCCTTTTCGAACTTTCTCCATAAATTTTGAACCATGAGAGATAGAGACTTCATATGGTATGCATACTTCACCAATGAAGGTCTTTTAAATGACACCAAGGTCAATGACCTTGTGACCTTGACTGTGACCTAAATGCTAAAAATAGCCTTTTCAAACTTTCTCCATAACTTTTGAACCATGAGAGATAGAGACTTCATATTTGTTATGCATATTCCACTGATAAAGCTCTTTCAAATGACACCAAGGTGTGACTTTGACTGTTATCTATATACTAAAAACAGCTGTTTAGAACTTTCGTCATAACTTTTGAACCAAGAGAGATAGAGACTTCATATTTGGTATGCATACTCCACTAATACAGGTCATGACCTTGTGACCTTGACTGTGACTTATCTGCTAAAAATAGTTTTTTTGAGCATTGTTACCACCAGGCGCATAGTGTTTCACAAACACATCTAGTTTTTATAATGTTCTATCACCTGACCTGGCTACCTTATATTTATTCTCAAAAGAGAGGCTCATGGGCCACAACATTCATCTTAGCAAAGTTAGCTTTGCTCTTCCTCCTCAGATTTGAGATTACTACATTCTAATGAAAAATTTTGAACCCCGATTATGCTTTATGAGGTTTCTGAATTTAATCAACACAACATGGGGTTGAATCAATATGACTGCAGTGACTTTTCAGTTATGGAGGAGAATTATTTCCCCTAGGATCTACTACTTGAAATAAAAATTAAATCCACACAACTTTGGAGTGTTTACCAATTAATGGTTAGATGGATGCCAGACAAAGGGTGATCAGAAAAGCTCACTCAAGTTTACTGTTTTCAGATCAGGTGATCTAAAAAATCTTTTTCCAGAGTTTTAAATGTTAGATGAAAAACCTAATCTAAGAAAATACTAACCTTTTCCAGTTAGAAATTGGTCTAAATTTCCTTCACAACAATTATGCTCATGGCAATGAAATAATTTGATCTTGTACAAATGGTCCACATGCAAGATCAGCTTTGTTTTATCATCGGTAGCCATTTCCTGAAAAATACATAAAAGAAGCTTTAATTTACTGTATTATATGAAAAAACAATTCACTGGGCAAAGAAACATACATGAATGTTTTGACACTAGCTGTGATAATGTTACCGGTAATTGTTATAAATATATGGTTCATTTGTTGTATTCACTTATTCATACTAGTTCATTTGCCAACAGTCCATTTGTCATGATTCTTGTTTGCACTGTACATGTACCCCGTTTCCTAGCTGCAGATCTGTAGCTAGCTGAACTGAATTATCTGGTCTATATTGTGGTTTAGATAGCCAAATTTTCAATAGTCTCAATTTCAGGCACACAATGGTTATAAACAACAGTTTTGGGAAATGTTTTATTGTGGAAGTAGTAAAATAATATGATAGGAACACACGGTTTGTAAAATTTTGAGATGGCAGCATAAATAAATGAAGCAATAAATCGAGAAAACAGCACACTTTTTTGTGCGCAATAAATATACACTTTCTTCGGTGGGTGTCACTGTAGCTCTCTATTTGTATATCCCTTTTTTCAGACCAGCGAGCTACAGATCCACAGCTACCTGTTCCTCTGATTGTAAATATTATAACATTTCTGTCGTTGTTTTATTTAATTAATAGATCTATTAAAAAGTTTTTTTCTTTTTGATTTAATTTTTGCATTGAAAGATGTTTTACTGAATTTTTTCCCATATTAGCTGCAGAACTGTAACTCTCTGAATAAAAAACGACAGACCGGAGAGCTACAGTACCACCCATTCTAAAACATGTAAATTTTCATTTATTCCCAATTATCTCCCCTTGAATGAGGGCGTGGCCCTTCATTTGAACAAACTTGAATCCCCTTCACCCAAGGATGCTTTGTGGCAAGTTTGGTTGAAATTAGCGGTTCTTGAGAAGAAGTCGAAAATGTGAAAAGTTTGTAGACAGATGGACAGCTAGACGGACAGACAGACGGACGCTGGACAAAATGTGATCAGAAAAGCTCACTTGAGCCTTCGGCTCAGGTGAGCTAATAAACATAAAATCTCAAATTCACTATCATTTTTAACGTCAAGTTACTGAAACCCTTTGACACATCACTAATCAGCAATTTTGTGACATAAACCAGACTATTGTGACGTCTACTACTCTCAGGAGTTTTCTTTGAACGAATGGTAAAAGCATGCTGACGACCATAAAATATGAAGTTTTATGGCCCCATCATGTGATAATCTAGAACCAATCAGATAACGTGTTGTGTAGAATAATTATAATGAGGTATAATAATAGGGAGCGCAGTGAGCTCAGTAGACTAATGTGTAAGAACAGAGGAAATTCAGATTGAAATATGTACATAGGTTAAGCAAATTTTCCTTTGCAACATTCCCAGAATTCTTTTGCTCCCCTGGTTCAATGCGAATTTGTTTTAAAACATACAAAAAACCATGAAAAGACTGAGAATAATTGTTCTTCAGGTCCAGTACAATCACTAGATTTAGCTACATAGGTAGAATTACCTACGTAGCTTTATTTACCTACCTCAGGTAGCTTTATTTAGCTATTTCAATGTAACAATTTAGAGCAAAACTTAAATATGTAATTCCATTGTTTATTTAACTGTCCTCCCTCATGCGTACGGTGAGGCATGGCTGAGTATGATTACTTCACATTGTGCTGAATAATTACCGACTTATTATTGTATTAACCAGAACTGGACTTCTTTGTCATTTCATTCAAGGAGTAACTATTCTGTCATACATAGTCCCAAAAATTTCAGAACTTTGATTGCAATTGCGCAGAAAAAGACATTTCTTCAAGAGGGATTTTTTCATGAATTGTTTTCAGATGATTGAGATGAGTTCAAAGTTGAAAATGATCACTGCATCAAAATGATATTTTCTGCACACCCTCAGAAAAATGATTTTTTTATAGAAATAAATTGATTTGGTAGCTAAATAAAGCTACCTCGGGTAGGTAAATAAAGCTAAGTAGGTTAATCAAGCTAAATAGCTAAATCTAGTGATTGTACCAGACCTGTTCTTTACAAAGATATGTTGACTCTTCTTTATTTGCACAAAGTTTAAAAGCAACAAAAAAAATTTTCATCTACTCTACAATGTATTTCATTAAATATTGCACAAGACATGTGACATCACAGTCTAGACTGTGTCTCATGCAGTTTCACGTTTGAAAAGGCAGATCAACGATTCAACTGTAACTGTAAGCTGTGTATAGGATTGCGTTTGTCGCAACAATCACACCATAAAACATATTACATGTATATTCCAGATGGGTTATTATATCCCATTTGTCTGTGGTCCCAATCTGTTGAAATCAACTCACATTTATCTGTAAACAGGTCTAGGAAAATCACTATATTTAGCTATATAGCTAAATCTACCTATATAGCTTTATTTACCTATATTAATATATAGCTTTATTTAGCTATTTCAGTAAATTTCCGTTTTATGAAAAGCAGACAAAAAGTCGCATAATGAGGCAGTATTAGCTTTCAACTTTAAAATGGACTGAAAACAATTCACCAAAAACCCACTTCTGAAAATGATTCTCCTTTTGTGCAATGAATTGCAATCAAAGATCTAAAAGTTTTGGGGCTATGTATAATAGTCATGATAGTTAAGCTGTGATTAAGCAGCTACTTTAACAAAGAAAAGCAGTTTTGGTCAACAAGATAATTGATTGGTAATAATTCAGCACAATGCAAGGCAATCACACTTAGTCATGCCTCATCGCACTTCAAGTGAGGGACAGCTATCCAAACAATAGAGATGCATTTTTGGGGTAAAAAGTGTTTAAAAGAGGCAATGTTATTACTATCTTGGTCCTAGGTTGTTTTTATCAAACCTTTTTAAAAAAATATCAGCCATAATTTTCATGCGACTTTTTGTCTGCTTTTCATAAAACAGAAACTTATTCTAAAATAGCTTTTAATAATAAAGCTATATTATATATGTAAATAAAGCTATGTAGGTAAATTAAGCTATATAGTGATTTTCCTGGACCTGGTAAAATCTAATGACACATCAGAGTAACCTCATGCCCTAGATCCAAACCTAATGTGGTACTTGTGAGACCAAATTAAATACTCTATTGAGCTATCCAGCAAGCTGTTGAAAACTTTACTGGTATTTTGTAATCCGCTGTAACACTGTTGCACTGTAAAAACGCTTTAGCGTGAATTTGCATTCATCTGATCCAATCATAGCCTTCTGTAAACACTGAGTAAAAATTATACAGACATATCACCTTTTAGTGACTTAAACCATCCAAACAGCACTCTTTTTGTTTTTAATTTCAGCGCGTCCCTTCCATAATGACTCGGAGCCAAAGTCATAATATACAACTGTTCGGATGAAATTGAATTTCGTAACTCATACAAAAAATATTCGCGTCCCGTTGTGATTTTTTAAAAATATCTGTCTAGAGTACATTGACTATAATCCAAACTCAAAAATAGATGAATTAACGTTTTGTTTTATTTCAATGTACATGATCTAAATAATACCCTGTAGTCTGTATCTTTATTTACATAGAAATAAAATGTGCATTAAAATCTCGACTTTATTAGTCATGAAAAGGATTTTTTAAAATCCATGTAGGTTTTATATAAAAAACGTTATCTAAATTTAATATTTTGAATGTTAAAAGTGTAAAATCAGGGACATATATAAGTCCCTAGTAAAATGTAACCATAAAACGAGAAGTTGCATTTGCATTTTAGCCTGTGGACATCTCTTCTGTGAATGCGTGTTGGACTAAAGCAAACTTTTGAGGAACATGCCTTTCGCATCGTACAGCTTTTAAAAATGCAATTAAGTAGCTTAAAGCTTTACATATGGCTACCTGCGCCAAAAAAAGATAATAATATATTGAGTGTATCTAGATATATTTACATCCACTGAATATTTTCTTCTTTATTTCTTAAGAAAACCCATTGCGTTCATCACTGCATGAACTACATTAGGCATATCACCTGTACAGATTTCTTGATCAGTGGCCGTTCCATCAATGAAACGTGCAAAGACGTTCGCATCATTAACACAATAACACATAATTAATATTTTTAATCCTACTTAAAATGATAATTTAAACAGATATAAATAAAAACTATAAAATGTCTTTCTTTGTTATTACTCATGTTACTGGAATGAACGGTCGCAGCAATTGCAGAAAAAATTTACATAACCCGCTTACGCATTCATAAAATGTAAAATTTTTATTGGCCACACACGAGTACCTTCTTCCAGATAAAAAACATGAAGGTGCATGTTTAATATTTTAAATGACATGATGATACATATGATATGAAAGATTTGTTATGCCGGATACATAAAATAATGTAACTTACGTTCAAATCAAAATTTTATCGATTTTAATTTTCAATAACCGTTCTATAATTAATTAAAATTTAAAATTATTTGTTATCTAAATGTGCGATTGATTTAAATTGTTATTTTACAAAAAGGTCCTATCTTTAGATAAAGTAATAAATCAAATGGAAAGATTTTTTAATTTTGGATACTTTAACTTATAAAAAATGAGCCATATATGACTTTAAGAATATTCCCTTATTTTGTTTACAATCAATTTGCATAGGCATTTGATTTTCGATCCATAAACAACGTTTCTGAAATTTGTCTAAAAGCTTCATCGATAATTTAATCTATAATTAACAACAGTGAAATAATTTTAACTGAATCAATGACATAGCATCGTTTTTGAAGGGGGGGGGGGGGGGAGGCTGAGAAAAAAAGAAAGAAAAGGACTCTTATTATCTTGAAAATTTCCAACCTCGAAAATCGTGGTTGGTTGATGTCCAACGTCTGTCAGTACCAAAATTTTTGCAAACTCAGGTGCTCAAAGACTACACTATACATTATCCGCATAATATTTACATCCACTGAATATTTAATCTTTTTAATTCTACTTTAAATGATTAATTAAACAGATATAAATATAAACAATAAAATGTCTTTCTTTGTTTATTATTACTGGAATTAACGGTCGCAGCTATTGCAGAAAAAATTTACATAACCCGCTTACGCGAGTTATGTATTTTTTCTGCAACAGCTGCTTCCGTTAATTCCAGTAATAACAAACAAAGAAAGCATTTTATTGTTTAAATTAACCTTTATATGACAATACTGCAACCAAAAGGGAAGGGCGGACTTTCAATGAACATTTTCTAGAGTAACAGTTTTTGTCTGGAAAAAAAAAATACGGGCGCAACCCACTCCCATGCCTGTTACTTTATAGGGAGAAATCGCTAAATTCTTTAACTTTTTTTTCGCTTGCATGCATGATTTATGAATGTGATTGCGAAATTTTAAAATTTTCATATTTATTTTGAACCAGAGGGGCAACAATTTTCACACAATTATTGTAATGGGTAATATGCTGATGAGATCGATCAATAATATAATCGCACCGGTCATGAGACAAAATTGACCACTTTGGGCCTAAATTATGATGTGAAATCCTAAACAATAGAGAAAATAGTTCGATTTAAAAATTCAATTATGTCCGCTTAAAACATTTTCGCAGCTTCCGTTCCGATTTATTATGACAGATCCTTGAAGGCAGTAAGTAAAATTTCCCGATTATTCATTATCATGACGCATTTGTGCCAGTAGTGTCATTAACACACATTTGTAAGAATTAAAAGAGGCATATAGACTTGATTGCTGCAGTGCTTCTTGAAATATTGAACAGAAGTGTAAGGAAAGATGTAATCACACTCAGTTTTACAGTTTTGGTCACAGGCACCTGACTTTTTTTTTTTTAATAAAAACAATTAACCCCATACCTAATAATACAGTATAATACAGTGTATTATTAGGTTTGGGATAATCTTTTATTATAAGAAAAATAAGTAACGTCAGGTGCCTGTGGTTTTGATATGAGGAGAACAGAGGTCTTTGTTAGTGTCTTTCAAATTTTTTGGTAAAATTTCTTTAATATTTCAATTTCAACCAATATTGTGACAAAGAATCCGTAGGTAGATGTGATTATGCAGTTAAAGTATATCAATGAGGGAGTTAGCAAGATTCAAGTTCCCCAAAGCCAGGACTATTTCCAGAGGCACAGCAAAAAATACACAGCCGAGGGAAATAGTCCTGGTTGAGGGGAACTGGAATCTTGCTAACTCCCTCAATGATATACTTTTTAACTGTTTTATTATACGATACAAAAGTAAAAAAAATAGAGGATTATGAATGATGAGGTATTAGCTTCAGGACTAATGCAGCGGGATTAGTCCATTAACACATAAGAATGATACAAAAGTAAAATCTAGAGGATTACTGATAACCGGGAAATTAGCTTCCCAAAAAGTCGCAGAGATTTCTAGGGAATTATTCACATTTTAATGTCTAACTTTTATATAAGTCAGTAGAGGTATAATAATCAAGTTTATTCAACTTAAAGTCTGTAACCTTTTGAAAGGGGAGATAATAAAGAAAAGGTATAAGAAAAGGTATAAAAAGTGGATGTCTTTAAAAAAAATCTAGCAAGCACTGCAGGGGGTCAAAAATATGAAACTTAAATGAAAACATCCTGAAAAAAAACATTTTGCTTTAAGTAAGTTCACATTATGGTGCCCACGGTAGGGTTTGGCGGAGCCCATATTACACCTACAAGTAAGAGCTTCAGTTAACATCACTATGCTCCTAACAGTTTTAGACTGGTAAGGTAATTTTCTGGCCAACTCATAGATCTACTGTAAGATGTGTTACTGAGTACTATAAATAAATAAATAGATTTTTTATTTCCAAATGAGGGTCCTTTAAGGCATCACAAACAAAAGCATGATTTATACAATTACAAACTATAATGATACATATCTTGCTGACTCTTGATCACCCTCTTGCTTTTGGGCAGCTGAACATGGCTTCATATATCAATAGATATTAAAAAATGTTTTCTCTCGTACTTCTGTGGATCTAATAATGTGCTGTTTTATACTCAGGTGACTGTTAAAGCCCCTGGGCCTCCTGTTTACAGTAAATGCAGACCAGTGGTCATGTGAAATGACTAATGCATAATCAAAACATATATCCATTACATGAATTCATGTATACGAATCAAATGCTAACTGACAGGGTAATGTGCTACTCCAAAAGAACTTGACCCTGATTTTCAGCTTTTTTCCTTTCTCAGATTTATTGGGTCAGCAATTACTGAAAGACACTTGTAACACTGGTGTTGGTTTCTGCACAAGGTCAGTCACCTAGTTGATTGTGTTGAATCACGTTTAGCATGGATAGGAAAATCATAAATTATTATTTGGAATATTGTCAAGGAATATTGTCAATTGAATGTTATACAGTGTACATGTATACTTTTTTGTAGTATTGGACAAAGTGATGACTGAGTGAAGCTGCATTATAACCTTAGTGATGAGTTACCCCAGTGAAGCTAAGCAGTTGGTTGTGGATGAGGCAGCGGCCACGGGAATACTCCAGCATCTGGACAAAAATGAACTGCAAAGTCTACTGGAAGACAATGACAAGCTAGAAGGCTTAATAAAAGATCTACAGCAGGTCAATGTTTGCTTTAAGAAAATTCTTTATACTGGTAATTGAAATCTTCACCAGAAGTGCAAAACCATGATAAATCATATATATTATTTGGAAACATCTTAATGTAGTTTAGATTAAAGACTGTTCCAGGTGTAGCATGGGGTCACATTGAGCAATCAATTTTTTAATGAAGATTAAGAATTTGAATATGTAGGGAAATCTTTTTAAAATCTTTTTTCCTAAGAGCAGAAAAACAAAAATTATTTGTTTGATATGCAAATGAACAGTTACCCATGGATCTCTTGTTCTCTATGTATTTTACTCTCCTTAATATCTCAAACTCTTGGGTAAAATTAAGTTTTTACAAGTAGTAAAGTTTCTGTAGATCTATATTTACTTAGAATAAAGTAAAAAATATATATATTACTATAAAAGGAAGAATTTCAGTGTCATTTCTTGGTGAATATCACTGATAATAAATTTTTATTTTTTTTTCTCTCTGATTTTAGGTCAAAAACATACAGACAGACAGAGAAATGATGCTAGCCAAAAATAAAAGCATGGCAGAGTACAATTTATCTCTCCAAAATCGTCTGGAGAACTTGAAAAGTGAAGTTGCTAAAGGTTATGAGGATGCTAATAAGCTGAAAATAGCTCTGGCTCAGGATAAATCTAGAATAGGTAAAGAAGAACATATAAATAGAACTTAGTTTATTGTGTCCGCACTTCGACAATTCATCAAAATCAAGGGGTGCTAAAACTTGGTTTAAGCAAAGTCAAGGGGATATGTGAATTTAATTCACTATAACTGTACATTGCTATACTTGTATAATATGATATGTACATATATTACATTTGCAATATTTCCATTTCTAATTTTTTCTCTGTGATAACTGTTTGAAAGTTAGCGGAGTCATCGTCGCAAACCACGGCCAAAATGTACGATACTCTCCCATTCTGGCCGTGGTTATGATCAAGCAGCCACGGGTAGGAGAGAGCTTTATGCGGACTCCGGACCGTGGCTTGAGACGATGTAGCGGGGTTGATTTCTTGATAATTCTACTGGAATGTAAATTAGGCAGGTCAATAGGTTAGGAGCTAAGGAAGCCTAATATGCATGCAGATCTCGTGCGCATCTGTCTCTGTGTCTGACAATAAGGTGGCCAAATATGCATGTAAATCTTTTTTGCTGTTTTTAGCAAATTTGGCTGTCTTTGAAAATGTAAACAAAACAGTTGAAACTTTTATCAGTGGGCGACATAAAAATTTCGGACTATTGAAATTTGTCATGGGAGTCCTCGTGTAATTTAAATCTATGTCTACATTTTTAAAGTCTAAATCTACAATTTTATTTCACAATGAAATGGAAATATAAGGAATCACTGTCTAGTTAGTATAGTATGCCAAGTACATCAACGGTAGTGGGAAAACATGGGATAATTTGTGCATAACAGGCTTCGCCCGTTATGCAAATTATCCCATGTTTCCCACTATCATTGATGCCCTGGCATACTATACTAGACATTGATTCCTTAAATATACTGTACATATATTACATTTGTAATATACTATACATATATTACATTTGCAATATATATGTTTGACTTTATTCTGAAACTGGCTCCATCTGTATTTGTACTAAATGAGTTTGACTGTACATGTCACTTTAATGATCATTTTAGGTAGAAAAGAAGCATACTATGATAGATAATGCAAAAGAAAATTCTTCTACTCTATCTATATATATATATTGCAACAACTCTCTCTTATTATTATCCTAGGTGGTCAATGTATGTGTGATTGAACAAAATAAGGTTTTGTTATAAATATAGATATGTAATTACCCAATCTTTTCATTTCAGTCCTATTTCTATGAGTATTTTTATCTCTAGCAGCTCTTACGAAAGGTTGCATATCTTAAAACATGTTTAAATTTGTTTTTTTGCTCAAGTAAGACTTGTTGACTGACTTGATTTATTTCCTACAGATTCCCACCCGAGTCGCCTTCTCCCTGACACAGTCCTGGCTCTGTTACAGTCCGCTGCCGCAGTGTCAGAAGAAAATGCAGAGGTAACTCAACAATCTAATAAAAATTTATCTAAACTAGTTGTCACTTGTCATTACCTCAAATCATTTTAAAACAATCCATTGTTTACTCAAGTGTAAATTTGTGTAAGATACTACACTGTATTACCATGATAACTGTCAGAGTATCATGATACATTACAGTCATCAAAGAAAAACAGGATATTGTATGGTAAATAAGTACCAGCACAGTGTATATAATAGTTATATATTAGAGTATTTTACTGAATTTTTAGCTCTACTGGTCAGAGACCAGAAGAGCTTATGTGATAGTAAGGTGTCCGTCCGTCTGTCTGTCTGTAAACAATTTTTCAAAATGCTACTCCTCCTACAGTTTTGGTCTGATTTTCATATAACTTGGCACACAAGTAGACTACAGTAAGATACATAAAATAGAGCATCTGTTTTTGATTTCAATGAACGGTGTTGCCATGGTTACTAAAAATAAAATTTTCTGTGAAATTCCTTTAAAACGCTTCTCCTTCTACAGTTTTGGTCTGATTTCAATATAACTTGGCACACAATTAGACTACACTAAGATACATAATATAGTGCATCAGTTTTTGATTTCGATGATCGATGTTGCCATGGTTACTAAAAATAGCATTTTCGTGAAATTCCTTTAAAACGCTACTCCTTCTACAGTTTTGGTCTGATTTCAGTATTACTTAACACACAAGTAGACTACACTAAGATACATAAAATAGTGCATCGGATTTTGAATTCGATGAACGGTGTTGCCATGGTTACTAAAAATAGAATTTGCTGTGAAATTCCTTTAAAACGCTACTCCTCCTACAATTTTGGTCTGGTAGACTACACTAAGATACATAAAATAGTGCATCGGATTTTGATTTTGATAAACGGTGTTGCCATGGTTATTAGAAATAGAATTTTCTGTGAAATTCCTTTAGCTAACAATTTTGGTCTGGTAGATACATTTTCATCGGTTTTTGAAATGTTGCCATGGTTAAAAAATAGAATTTTCTGTGAAATTCCTTTAAAACGCTTCTCCTCCTACAGTTTTGGTCTGATGGCAATGGCTTCTTTTCTCATCCTTTGTTATAAGTGCAAACCAGTAGAGCTATAGTCTCGACAGAGACTTCTGGTTTAATGTATAATTAATTTTATGCTTTTTGTTTTATTTTAGCAATTTGCAGAGCAGTTCTGTGATAGTAAGATAAACCATGAAGCTTTCTTGGAAAATTATCTGCCTGTAAGAACAGTTGCTCATTTAAGACAAGTGAAAGTGAAGAAATTAACAGAACTGATGAATTCTGGACTCTCGCGGCGAGATGTTCCTGCCATTAACTCCTCCACAAACAGTTACTCCTGCCCCAGTGGCCTCCCCAATCTACCTTACCCTAGTGGCAACTTCTCAATGCCACAACCAGCAGTGTACCCCAGATAGTGCTGAATGATTTATATGTATTTCTTATACCATGGTACATGAATTGTGAAATTAATGGGCATATTACATGTGCTATTGTATTTAAAGATTCCAAACCTTAAATCTCATTGTTTGCTGGTAGATATCTGTAAAAAGCAAGACTTTATTTTGAATTTTTAAGAATGATTTTGTGTTAACATGTTTTTATATTTTGCCATATGAAGTGCTGACACTGAACAATGCAAAATTTACGTTTCATGTTCTGTTGTGTGTTAATGTAGTTGAGCTTGGCTGGAAAAGAAAACAATGGGACAAAGGAAAACTGTCTTTTGTCTATAATAAAAAAGGGTACACATTTATTGGGGATGATGATAGATTTTTCAATATTTACACATTTTAGTACTTTTTGATTAAAAAAAAAAGTTGAAAAGGTATTCAAAGATGATGTTAAATGCATGCACCTTGTTCATGATATGACAAGACCAAAATGTATGGGTATGAGTATGAAAGAAAAAAAAACAAGGACAAATCATGCATCTTTTAGTTTAAAATTAAGATAACTGTGTAATGATAAGTTTATTAAAATTATTTATAACCTTTCAAAAAGATGCCACAGACTGTGTACCTTTATTTTACATATTGTGTACCACCTGTCTAGTATTTATTTTAAACTTGCAGCTTCCATAATCTATTTTATTACAAGTTCAAAAAATTTATGAATTTTAAAATTTTGCTACATTATAATTTTATAAAAGAAATGCATGTAAATCAATTCATTTTAGATATATAAACGTAAATTATGATATTTGATGAGCAAGCCAACTGTTTTATAGGTTGTTTTTGTCTCTAAAAAGCTGGAAAAGGCTTCAGGTTTAATTTGTTTGATGAAGGTATTCCATCCCTGAAAAAATGAAATTGAATGCATAACAGTTTTGATTTTGGGGAATATGCATTAATGTGAAGACATAATTCCCTTTTATTTCTAAGATTTATTAGTATATAAATGTGGAATGTGTCCCAAGTTGTGACCTTTTTCTGATCTTGAAGAGATCCAGTTCAATTTAAGATCAGATGATCTTTGTTATGTCTTGAGAGTTGCTATAATGGGGATTCAGAATTTCAAAGAGTAACAGAGATCTGATTTTAATCAGGTTGGGAGTGAATCTTTCCATTTTAATAATTCAATAACAATAAATTTAAATATATATCTGTTAGAGTCTTTCCGCCACAGCATTGATATTCTTAGAATCTGAATTTTTAAAACATAGGCTTTTCCCCATACATGCAGGCCTCAATGCAGTCTGTTTATTGATTACTGCTTAAGTAACTGAATCTGAAAAAATATCTTCAATGGTAGATCTCTTTTGACTGTAAAACACTTGAAATTATTTTATAGTATTTTAAAATGTATGTGTAGTGATATTTGCTGATAAAGAATTAGTCCTATTAGGTTTGGAATACCTTAGAAATATTGAACATGACTGCAGTAGGCATGTCACAATCATCGAGAACTTAATATTATCCAGAATGGTTAAGGAAGAATATAATCCCTTCTTTATTCAAAATGTGTACATGCACTTGTGTGCATTGATTTTTTGCAATCATTGAAATAAAGTTATTCTAATAAATTGTGTCTCTAAGGCTTGTTGATATGTGTCTTCAGATATATACTCATGCAGACACGCCAGTCAAATACAATTTCAATGAGCTTTGTATCCCATGGAACACCGTTTTAGCATTCCATATACAGATGATACTACTAGCATGGAAGTCCCTGCATGCTGACAATTTTTTTTTTGTAAATAACTAGTAGAGTACACACTTCTTTTTTATCACTTGTAATCTTTCAAAAGAAATTGTGAATTTGTAATTGTATGGTGATTGTCTGGTTTGATTGTAGCATCTTTGTATATTATGTAGGCTTATTTAAAACTAAGTGCATATGTAGGTGTGTTACCATGGATAAGCTTTATCTTATGTGCTCCTTGTCATGAATGGGTAACCATCCTATTCATGATTGGGTAATTGAGAAAATGTGTAGACAGTTCATTGTGAAAATAATGACCTCACAATTCAACGAAAGGCATCAGTCAAAATTTGACTTAATGTCAGTTTGTATCTGCAAAAAAGGTCATTGTATTGTCACAGCTAATAATTTAAAATATGTTGACTTTAAATGAGATTGTTGATCTCCTTGTTTTGCCTACTTATTTGGCAATAGTCAGTCTTATTTTGTGGATTGTTTATACATTAGAGCATCTCTTGTGTATCAAATCCAGTTTTAAGTTTTCGTCTTTAATTTAAAAAGCTTTAGTTTTGGTCCATTCATATAAAGGTATTACACAGGGTAAAAGACAATACATTTTTATTAAAATGGAAACTGTATTTGAAATATCACAGTTATAACAAATCAACATATTCATAAAACCTTAATACATATACAGTGTAGACCTACTTATAACTACATGTATTACATACAGTAAATACCCAAGTTACTTTTAACACTCCAAAATAATAACAACTGTAGTTTTGAGGGAGTATTTTTGGTGTAACTAGTTTCTACCTTTGCAAGATCTTTAAATCATTTCAGATTATGCATTTATACTATTAAAGAAAAACCAGCTGCCTTCTATAAATTAAGCATTATATTTGCTTATGGTTACATGATTTTTCTAGGTTTTTTCATAAGAATTCATTATATTCATATATATATGTGGAGAATAACTAGCTTCTTTAATAAATATATTTCAAAATCAGCTGCTCTTCAATTTTCTCTGAAATTCAATTTTAAAAAATCCTATCATCTAAACATCATCCGAGTTATAAACCCCTTCCCGCTGAGGCATCTTTTAGAACAGTTGTTGCGTAAATTCTATTCATCTGTTCAATGAAAATGAAAGTCAAGACTGTGTGAGGTCCCAGTCGGAAATAGTATGGCAAGAATCCCTTCCATAGACTGAAAAAGCCTTCCTTTCGTATCGTATTCACAAAAACATCCTGTAATGAAGAAAAAAGGTTATGTAAAATGTCATAATTAATCTATTTCAGGACATTTATTACTTAAGATATACTAGTATAGGACATGGGCCACCTTTTCCAGAGAATTCTTATTTAAGAAAAAAATCAAACAAATACATTATTCTAAGTTGAAGGGTCCTCCACACACCCACAGCGTATGTTCTCATATTATTGAGCATTACTTTTAACAAGCATATCAACCTTTAAAAACTGTCCAGGGATTAAAATATAATTTATACTGATTTTTAAAAAAAATTATTTCACAAGTTTCAAGAAATTTTTCCCAAGGCATTTTCATACCTAGCACAACAAATTTTGTCTTACCCTTTCGTATATTTTTAAGCTCACAGAATAACCATAAAAACTTAATTTTATCGATCAATATATTTATTACTAGTGTTGGCAAATCGGACGATTTTTACTAACCGGTTACTCGCTTATTCTTCCGATCGAGTACCCGGTTACTCGGATGATTTTTTGCAATAGTTTCCGTATTTATTACTTACCTCATCCTTTTACTTATTGGTAAAAATAATCCACATATGCTACGTATATGAATTATAATTTATTTACAAATACAAACTTTAAAAACACAACATCTTCGAACACTATTGAATATAAATGTCACTTGAAACAGTCAGTTTGTTTTCGTTAAAGATTAAAAAAATTATCAACACATGACCTTGTTATTGCTGGTTGTTTTTGTAGAGTTTCCTGCAAGTCACTGGTTTCCGAATTATGTTTCAAACTAAGGTGATTTAGCATATTGTAGTTCCACCCGTATTTCGATTCAGTTTTTTTTAATATACCCACGCTTTAGATGTTTGCGGCGGCATCTTGTGAAAGTAAGTCCCTCTAACTATCACAGGTCTACTTTAAAAGTAATTATAACTCAGGTTTTCAAAACATGTACCCCCATGGTAATCAAAGCCATAAATTATATACGCTGTGAAAACTAATCAAAACAAATCGATCCCAACTGTAAACCAGCAAAGCAAGCCTATAGCTAACGGTAATTAACGGTAATTAAATGAGGGAAATGTGTCAATAAACATTTACAAATAGCATAAAAATCATTTTATACCTATTAACTATGAAAAATGTATTTTATCCGAGTAACCGAATAGCAGTTTTACTAACCGATACTCGCAACGTTCGACGGTTAACCGGTTAACCGGGTACTCGTTGCCAACACTATTTATTACAGAATTTTATTTTATTTACGAAAAGTACATAAAACTCATTTTCTCTAAAATGCATCTCGAAAAAAATCAGTAAAGACTCCTTTTGTAGAGAAGAAACATTAATGAATTAGATTACATCAAAAAATTGAATTAAAAATATTAAATGCACTGATGTAGAAAAATTATTTTCAAAATCTTTGGTATCAAAGTTCCTTTTTGGAATTATCTTTCCTTTTGCCCGGGACTCAAAAACTTTGGCAAGTCTCCGCATTCGTCACCATACTATATTTAGTAATTACTGGTCACTGAACTGGACAGATATAAGAAAGGAAAACTAGAAACGCACACTATTTTATTAATATTTATGAACACACAATGAGATAATGTATTATTGAAACGCACGAATCAGTGTGCCAAAATTTCAACTATCAAAACAGACTCGGTTGATTAGCCTGAAAGTATAAATAACCTAAACGTTTCTCGTCATACTGGTACCTGTTGTTTACGAATTATTATGTAACATAATCCCAGATATCTGTTGTTCTTTTATTTAAAAAAAAAACGCACATCTTTTTCTATCGGTCACTCCCTGACCATGCCATGTGTTCATTGTTTATGATTAGGGTGTCGCTCTCAGTGTACTGCAAACTTTTCTCTTTGTAAAACCTTTATCTCTCAAGCATTTGTAAGACTCTTTTACAAACGGTGCTATGCCAAATTGTCCATGCATAAACTAGATAAAACCGGAAGTAAAAGTATTTTTTTCTCTATATACGTCACAAGTCACATGGTGTGGAGGACCCTTAAGTTTAACAAAAATGTCAAACTAGACTGCAAATTTTCAAAATGCTTTTAAGTTATGGAACATGTATGCTTTTCCTGCAGTTTTTACCCCTCTAATTTAACTACAGTGATAAGATTGTCAAATATTACCATTGCTCCTTTGTACTCTGGTTTTCCATCAATAGTTTTCATGTTCTGTATTCTGTAAAAGAAATTAATATATACATACAACTATATATATTTGTTTAGTACTATAAAAGGAGGGTTCAAATTTTCAGTAGATAAAAAAATATGATTACCTAGTTTTCACAATATCTACAGGCATTGAGAACACTGTCGTCACAAAGCCACTGATCATACTGCTAACGAAATGGAGAAGCAACCCATCTTTGACCATTTCTCCTGAAACAAACATACCCAGGTATTTACATTTTTAAACAATGATTTTTTTTAATCACAATTTTAGTACTTTACAGAGTCAATCTTGTATAAATCTGTTTATCTATGTATGTTACAAGAAGTTCCTAAGCAGAAATCAGTATTTTCTAATTTCCAAAGAGTTTTTACCCTTAGATTTCTATCTAAATGTATACATACTGTCAAGGAAAAATTGTTTAACTTGTGAATAAGAGGACAGCTGAGATGCATTCACCACCATAGCTCTTCCTATAGTAGGGCCACTTCCCTGTGATAAGTGAAACATAGGTAATCAAAGATTACGAAGCTCACCTCGACGAATGTTATCAGTTTAGGTAATGCAAATCTCACATCATATTTTCTTAACAGTTGGTTTTTATTCTGACAATAATATTCAAGCATGTTCTCTTTAAGTAGGTCTTAAAATTCAATGGGGATTGTCCTGTTCCAAAAACTTTAACCTCGTCACTCGTTTGGAAAATGTGGGTCAGATCCAGCATCCGAAGCAAGTTTCGATTGTCCATCCCTAGATGCATCATCCCTGCAAGTTTGGTCCGGGTAGGGCTTATAGTTACTTATAGGAATAATCTAGTCACTAATCTGGTAGGTCACATTCAGCATCCGAAGCAAGTCTGGTAGTGTCCATCCCTAGATGCATTATCCATGCAAGTTTGGTCCGGGTAGGGCTTATACTTACTTGGGAATAATTTAGTCACTAATCTGGTAAATGTAGGTCAGATCCAGCATCCGAAGCAAGTCTGGTAGTGTCCATCCCTAGATGCATCATCCATGCAAGTTTGGTCCGGGTAGGGCTTATAGTTACTTGGGAATGGACCTGCTTCAAAAGATGTAACCTGGTCACTCATCTAGAAAATGTAGGTCAGATCCAGCATCCGAAGCAAGTCTTGTAGTGTCCATCCCTAGATGCATCATCCATGCAAGTTTGGTCCAGGTAGGGCTTAGAATTCCTTGGGAATGGACTTGCTCAAAAAACTTTAACCTGGTCACACATCTGGAAAATGTAGGTCACATCCAGCATCCGAAGCAAGTCTGGTAGTGTCCATCCCTAGATGCATCATCCATGCAAGTTTGGTCCGGGTAGGGCTTATAGTTCCTTGGGAATGGACCTGCTCCAAAAACTTTAACCTGGTCACTCATCTGGAAAATGTAGGTCACATCCAGCATCCAAAGCAAGTCTTGTAGTGTCCATCCCTAGATGCATAATCCATGCAAGTTTGGTCCAGGTAGGGCTTAGAATTCCTTGGGAATGGACTTGCTCAAAAAACTTTAACCTGGTCACTCATCTGGAAAATGTAGGTCACATCCAGCATCCGAAGCAAGTCTGGTAGTGTCCATCCCTAGATGCATGCAAGTTTGGTCCAGGTAGGGCTTACAGTTACTTGAGAATGGACCTGCTCCTAAAACTTGAACCGGGATGCCGACGCAAACTCCGACACCGACGCCGGGGGTATAGCATAAGCTCATCTCGACTTCGTCGAGGTGAGCTAAAAAGTCTTAATAAAACAGAGTGAATTAAATCTCGTTTGTAATTTAAAATTATAGAAACTACATGTTGGTACATCTATATACAAAATTATATTTTCCGTTTTTGACATTGTGTTTTTGTCTTCAATATTTAACAAAATGAGAACAAATAAATCAAACAAGGTCCATTATCATATAAATAACAGCTACTGGATAGATCAACACATACGAGGGTTGATCCAAAGGTTCGTGGAATTTCTTCATATTCTATTTATTTTTCAGTGGAATTGGTTGAAAATTACAAATGAAAATGTAGACACTTGATGAATATTTTAAATTACAAAACTTTGTAAATATCTTGGATAGTAACTTTATGGCAGTTGAAATAGAAACGGTTGTTTGGAAATGCGGGGGAGACATTAACGCGTTTCTTATTATTTTAATTCTTAATACGTGAAATAAGAATTAAACCGCCCTATGTGGTATATAAAACGAAAATTATATCATTATTACGATTGCTTGATCTTTTATAGACCTTTGTGTGAGAATTTTACTGATTTTACTGGATATTTAGTTTATAAGTTGATGATTTATTGTTTTTCTTTTAAGTTGTTAGATAACGTCAAATTTCGGTCAAGTCACACGTTTTGTGAAAATCCTGGGATCACTCTATCTTAAACGCGTACATTATTGACATAGGCTTGGGAAAAATGCATTAGTTGCTGGTTTTCCAGTGGCATAAGAAATTTAAGAAAAATAGAACTTCCATTGACGTTGATAAAAGATGTGGTCGCTTTTTAGAGGCTCTGCTTAAGTACGTATCCCCCTAGACAAATTAAAAGTGTTAATGGACGTTGTCGGCTGCTGTCCTGTTCTTGACATTGCTACTGAAATTGGAACATCATATGGAAAGATGGGTAGTATTTTGAAATATGAGTAAAAAAAAATGAAGATAAGTTGGAGCGAGAGGATACCCAGGCTTTTCTTGAGAAAAAAAAATGGAGAAAAAGGCAGCATTTTGTAGAATTGCGTATTATAATTGGACATTTGGGCAAGATGCTTCTATAAGGTGACGTGACATATCTAACTTGACGTTACGTCAAAGTCTCCCCCGGGTTTCCCAACTATCCATTTTCAGAGAGTTCGTGTAACCTTATTGGTAATTGGAAAGTGGTGAAATTTTCCAATGTTGTTGCATTATGACTCTATATTATGAATATATGAATATGCCTGTTGATTGATTTCAGCAAGTCACGTTAAAATTTAAGAAAGAAATTCCACGAACTTTTGGATCAACCCTCGTAAAGTGTCAAGTTTAAAGGCTTGTACCCTGAAGAGAGCTAAAAATCCTTCCTCTAACCACACTCTTTTGAGTGCGTCAAAAACATTTTTGTATCCTCTTCTTTGTTCAACTGGGAGACTGAAAAAGAGAAAATAAATGCTGTACATGTATATATCTTTATATATATACAGAAAGCACAAAGAAATTCAGTTTTACATGGACACCCAATTCCGCCCCAGCCCGGGGTTGAACTCTCGACCTTCGGAATCTGTCTCCTAGCAGTGCAGGAACAGCGCGCTAGACCGCTCGGCTATCTAGGCAAGTCAAAAAACTTGCTTTCGATGTCGATGGAATTCTCGCGGCGCTGCCCTACACTACACGGTCATTGAGAATAGAAGTGAGATACAGTTATTTGGACATTAGTTTTAACAGAGGATTGTTACCAATACATGTTGTAATGAAATTAATTATTATTTATAAAGCACATTTTACAACAACTCTTAAACTAACATAACGATATTTTTAATGTCACTTTACTTTTCAAATTGAATTACTCCCTCTGAATATTTTCTGTTTTACTTTCTGTAAAAGTACTTAAGGCGGTAGCAATTATCATACATGTATTAAGGCTTCTTATCTGTGCACTAATGTGAACCTTTTCTTTTTAATTTAATACACGTAATTATAACAGAGAAATACACTTATATAGTTATGAGTCCTCTAAACAGTTGAAGACTGCAATGAATTTTGAATGTAGTAATGCATGTATAAGAAATACATGTACAGTATATATAGTGGTAATGTCATAGTTTACCGTCCATCTGCTGTCATTCTTATAAGAGCCAACTCAGCCGGGGTTCCAACAAATGCCCCAATACCTCCAGCAAACACACCTATAAACACTTTCTTGAAAAAGCTTGGAGGTTTGCCATCCCTAAATAAAGGATAACAATATAATTTAAATATTCTTTAAGTTGTTGAAAAATAAATTCAAATTTCAATACATATTTTGAAGTGGATAGTGGTATTGTAAAATACACTAAACATTCTCGTATTTTTTTTCTGAAACAATTTATAACTTTTCCTTTCAGTTTTGATTCAAAATAAATGCTGGAATGAGATATAATTTCTTCACATTGGAGTACAGACACTTATCATATGACACTTACACACTGAATCTTTCAAACAGGGAGGAGTATATGCCCATTCTTGTTGTTGTGTAAGTCGCCTGACGCAGAAGTCCTGCTGAAAGACTAAAAATGAAAAAAAATTCCAAAACCATCAATTTCATTCACTATTTCAAAATAACTTATCTGGATAGAGATAACTTTTTTCTGCACCATATACATTTTGTGTGACAGTGTCAACTGCATTTTTACAGTGAGAGATAATAAAAACTTAAGATCATAATTGGTGAAATAATCAGAAGCATATACAGTTCCCACACATACAAAGTTGAATATTTTTTTTTTTTAAGTTTCAAAAAATAATTAAACAAACGAAAATTTATTGTTATTTATTTTTTTAACTGGTAATTCAGATATCCGGACGCTTCACATATCCGGACAAATTGACTAGGACCAAAGCGTCCGGATAAATGAGGTTCCACTGTAGTATGAATATCTTGTGCAATATTTTGACAAAGCTTACCCTGTGTAGATCCCAGTGATGCCCTCATTCCTCAGTACTGTGATTAAGGCATGCCCACTTGATTTATACTGACGACTTTTGCCTCCCTCACCTATTGAATAAAGTACCATTTTCTTTTCAAACATACAAAGTTAAATAATTCTTTTCAAGTTTCATAAAATATTTTTTAAAATTTTTTTTTACTTTAGTGACACTTTTTTATCTAATGGAAAATACTGAATAATAATCAATATTCTTTTTTCCTCACTTTTTACACTTATTTTAAATTAAAATTTTAATGACGATATAAAAAATTGTAATTTAAAATACATGTAGATATTAGGCTTTTGATTGAGAACTTTACCACTGAGCTGCATTCTATTCTTTACCAAGTCCAGGGGCTGAACAAACACTGTAGCGCCCATTCTGAAATACAATGTAGAATTCAATACATTTTAGGCACTCATTCAGAAATACAACATAGATTCAAATATATTTATGCACTCATTCAGATACACAACATAGAATCCAATGTATTTTAGGTGCTCATTTAGACAAAAAAAAGATGGCCTTTCAGATGTAAATTAAATTAAATTTACCAAAAAAAAATGAACTTCATCAAAACAATGACTTACAAATGTTTTCTGCATATAAAATGAATGAAAATCTATGGCATTCAAAACACCAAAACACAGAAAGGGGGTCAAAAGATTAAAGCATGTATTTAATTTTTGGATGTCGGGTCACAATCGTTGAATGCTAAGGAAGTGCAACGTCATATGCGGAAAGAAAAAATCACGCTCACATTGACCAGAAGCTGTTACATTGGCTATTCCCTTATTTATAGCTCATACAAATGATACTGTAAACCAACTTTTTTTCGCGACGACATTATTTCGCGATTTTCGGGGGAAGAAACTAGTTTGCGACAATTGTCTCAATTGATTTTCACAATAAAGCCTTTTTTTGGATCTGTTGTTAATAGAAACAGATACTTTAAGGACCCATTCACGGCAAGAAATATTCGCAACGACGAGGCTCTGACGAAAATTTCTCGCATGCGAATAAAAGTCGGTTTACAGTAATACCTGGGTTACATCTGCTTTGGCAGATAATGTGAATTTTAGAATGAATATATGTTACAAAAAATATCTGTATTATTATTTTTAAAATAAAGGTTTAAGGTAATTATAATGCCATTCATTATACATCTTGAAACTAAAACATAATTTTTAAAAAAGCTTTAACAAGAAACAAGAAAAGTATTGTCAACTACTGATAAATTGTTTTGTAATTAATTTAAATGACATCGGGCTCGCAATCCGGATGTTTCTCATTTAAATTTTGGTTACTTTCTAAATCATGAACTGCAAATTTCAAAATAACAATAGGATATTATAAAATATTTGTTTTTATATTTGAAAATGAAATGTAAACTATATATTGTCCTCTGTGTCCTCTAGAATCTGAATGACAGTCAAACAATAAGGCCTTAATTGCGGTTGCAGGTGCGTGTCCTTGGATCATTCAAACTGCACGTGCATTGCTACCCCTGCTATTTAATAAATGAAAGAGCTATAAATTTACTTACCCAGCTAATCCGCCGATGGTAAATTTCATGTACTTGGGTATCGTGTTCTTTTTCTCCGACATTGTTGTTGTTCATGCAGATGATCAAGTCGGGTGCTGAGTCGACGCGTTATGTCAGTCAAAAAGGATCTGACTAATGTCCGCAATGTGATAGAGAATACTGAAGGCTATTATGAAAAAAAAAATAAAAATACTATGGAATATTTTTTATAAAGATTGTTCGTTTATTATTACATTTTCATATAGGCCTATAAATGTTTTATCACATGTAACCTCTCTATCGGAAAATGAATATTATTTTAATTTGTCAGTATTCGAAAGGCGGATCTAAAAAAAAAATGTGCTGGGGCCAGGAACACCAGCATTAATTCTCAGTTAAACAAAGACTGTGGCTTTATATACACTAGGTTCCGAGGAACATATTGAAAAAAAAAATGTTACCCATTCTTCTTAACTGCAAATTGATAACTCTTTCATTGTCTATCGATCATTATGGTGATTCTGAAGTCTAGAACATGTAGACTTTATCGGAAGGGGGGGGGGGTTAATTTAAAAGGTTTAACAAGCCCCAAAAAAGTAAAATATTGTCAAAACCAGAAAAATCCTATTTCGTTGGGGGGGAGGGGGCATAGTTGTTTCACTATGTACATGTATGAACTCTTTGGAACCAAATTTATTCATGCATTCCCACTTTACCCAACAAAAACTAAGTGGAGGGGGCAACTGCACGCCCTTTCAATGAACCTTTTCAATAGTAAAAAGTAATGTTTGGAAAAAGTGAGGAGCAACCCCTCCCCAACCCCTACCCCCCGACACTAAAATGGTTGTTAAAACCCAATTCATGATCAAATGAAATTTTTATCAAACAGGTAACCATCTCTCCAAAGCTCTTTGGTTGCTATATTCCTCGTTTAACAGAGGTTTCATCTTTTCACGCTTTTTAAGGTCATTTAAAACCATTTTGATAGATGTTGCTGAAGTACCATTCTTGGAATTAGAAAACTAGTTTTGAACATCGCTATGCTGCCAAGAGCAAGGATGTATATCTTTATCCCTTCAAATCAAGTTTGGGATGAGAGGCTAATTTTCAAATCCCTGGCTCTTATCTTAGGTAATTTCATTCCCTCTTCTACTTCACCTTAGAAATAGAAATACGTGCATCAGTCCCAGAACCTGGCGGGAGTAGGGTGATTCACAGAAAGTTTTAGCTTCCAACATGTAACTCCTTGTATTAAACTTGGATTTTGAACAACTTTTACCAAAAATGTTCAGACTTTGAAGTCACTCATAACTTTTGATACTTTCATACTTCACACGAGTGTTTAGTGTGGCAAGACCTTTCAATGGATATGAATATTTTTGACCTTGTGACACTGACCTTAGAGTTTGACCTACTTTTCAAAAAACTTCAACCTTGGCCATAACTTTTCAACAGTTAGAACTAGGGTTTTTATATTTCAGAAATATATTCCTTGTGATATTAAACTCCTCTGGATACCAACAATTTTGAGCTATTGACCTTGGAGTTTGACTTTCATTTGAGAAACTTCAACTCCATAAGCTGTCATACGGGGATATCAGTGTTTCACAAACATATGTTGTTATTTTATTTTATTATTTTTTTTTTGCTCGTCAAGGAATCTTTGGTAATTAATAGTGCCGCTCCAAGTGAAAATGAATAGCTGTAACCTCCCCCCCCCCCCCAAACTGAAATTGCTTCCTATTGGCCTGTATGTTCTACTCAAAATACTTTGGTTAAATGTTAAAGTTAACTTTAACAGGAAGGTAAAAGAAAGTGGCATTCAGAGAGAGAGAGAGAGAGAGAGAGAGAGAGAGAGAGCATAAAACTAAGGTATTTCACAAACACCGAAAGTAAAACCAACACAAATTTTGTTTACATTTAAGATTTTACAACAACATTTACATAAACAATATCCATAATGGCTTGATATCCATATGGCAGTATAATGCTGATTAATAGTAAAACAAATATTTCGCTAATAAAGCAAGTGTTTTTTGATTATTATAAAGTTCTTTCTTTCATTCACCCCTCGTTCATCCTTCAAATCACATCACTTTAAATGAAGAAATTCCAACAATCTTCCATCTTCATTGGCGTCGTCAAAGGCTTGGAAATCCTGTTGATATTAAATAAATAAAATTATATTAACAGAAAATTAACAAAAACTGAAAAATTGTGATTTACTTGTATATCAAAAGCAGTCTTCTACCAGTGATATAAGCTCGGTGGAAAGTGCAGATCTATGTTTTTGTAATAATTGTGTAAAACAATTTACCGTTTATAGCTCTCCTTACAGAGCCCATTTTTTGAAATTTGATACATAAAGAATTGTCAAATTGGTTAAAACGAATTCAAGATCTTTATAACATTTCCTAATTCATTCTAACAAATTAAATTCTGTGTAAAAACATAATTCAACAATTTTTATATCAGGTTAACTTCGTTCAAAACAACTCCATTATTAGTCAATCGAATTAAATCAGTTTAAACAGATTCTTAAATATAATTGATGTAGCACTTTGTATTCTTTTAATCGAATTTAACATTTACAACTTTCGGAGTAATATTTATTCATTCGTTAAAACAAATTCAACGTATTTAATTTGTTGAGGAAAAAATATCGGAGTTTGTTTCAACCGACATTATGTAACAAATCTTTGAATTCGATATCAAGAATTCAACACATTTGATATCAAAAAATTGAATTTACTGCAAACAATTGTTATAACGAATCAAATTTGTTTTGATTTATTTGACAATTTAATATCAAATACAGAAATGTTTTTAATATGTCCTAAATTGATAATTTTGATAGACTGATGATGGTCAAGAATTAAAATCAGCTGTAAAAAATCCACGTATGTCCTCAGTGGATACTGATTACCCCGCAGTAGGTGTTGTCATTAAATATTTGAGGGGGTAATAAGTCTGGAATCCCTGCTAGAGCCCTCATTTCTTCCCTGCCCTCCTGGTTTTTACTGAGGTCTATCTCCTCATAAGGAATCTTTTTACCGTCCAGGATCAGCTTTATTCGGTTCTGTTTGATGTAAATCTGAAAATAAAACACACAATTGACTATATACTATAGTACATACACGTTTTTAAACATTTATTATGACTGAGTATTCGGCATGTCTAACTATTGATAGTCTGTCTGTGGATTCTATAGGAATCTCCCATCAGTGCTTATATCACTGATTTAATAGAATGACTCACTTCCGTATTCGGTTAGGATGGAAGAAACTTATCACCAGGAACTAATTCAGGAATACCCCTGCAGACATTATAAATTCTCCTCTCAATGAAAGGACTCTTAACATAAACAGAGGCAATTATATGCGCGTGTGTGCATGAATGTGAAATGAACTCTCCACGAGCATCATTACATGTAAAAGAGGGAGTGTCATGCAGACACTTTTAAATTGTCGATACAGACGAGCTATTGTGAGAGATGAAGTTATTGGAAAAAGAGGATTCCAAATACTGCTAGACAGAAAATCAACAAGATATCAGTTATCAAAACAAAGCGATAGCATACCAAGCATAAAACAAATCGAACCCAAACAGTAGAAAAAGTGTTTACCGTTTTCGAATAAAAGTTACCCCCACACAGAAATCCCGATAGCAAGCGATTGATACAGTTTATAAATAAGAGAGAAATACTGTACTTACATCTCTATTTGTAGCCACGGTGGTCATATAGAATTTAACAGTCATTTTTTGTCTACTACAGATATACGGTGCACACAGTAGCGCTGTGTGTTTTAGTGAGCCGATTAGCTTCAGCCAGCATCCCTGTAGGTCCCCCCCTACAAGGCCGACGATGATTCAGCTTCGAGATGCACGAGTGTGCACATGGCTATCAATTTTTGGCGAAGAGAGGGATCTGCATATTTGTGTGGCTACTCACATAATTAATGATGAGCTTACTATGACAGAGGACTTAATTTTAATTGGTTGGGGAATGAGAGGGGTGTTTCTTGATGAACTTTTGTCCTGTCGGTGGCCTCAAACCGGGAAGACGGGGAATCTCCACACCAGATTTCATTCAATGAATTGTCAAATTCATTGCAGATGGAAAGTTGAAAATCTAGCTTTTAAAATGGTTTCAATAAAAAAAAATAGAATTTGTGTATTTCTGTTTGTGTTTCTGTTAAGAGTGAAAAATAATTATATACTCAGTATTATTGAGTTAATAATGTGTATATGATACTTCCTTGAAATACATATATGCATACATATACTAGTAATATAGTAGCCAAGTGCAAGTAAAAAGTAAATACATGTATAACTCTAAAAATAACGCGTTCACAATCATACAGAGACATCAGTGAAATTGTAAAGCATTTCCTGAGGGTTAAAAAAGATGCGATTGCATGGGGGTAAAATCTGATATATACATTGTGAAAATGTGGTAGCAATGAAGGAACAGCAAAAATTTTTAACTCGTAAAGAAAAATGAGATACATGTACCTGGAAAAAAGAAGCTGCCCAAACTCAAAAATCTATTACGCAGAAAGGTGGCAACTAAAATAAGATTTAATTTTGTACACCGGTACATTTTAACCTTTCGTTGGAGAGTTCAACTACAAAACAAAAAGTATAAATTTCTCTATATTAAATTAATTGAAAAATCCCAAAAAAGTATTCACGGTAGAAAAAAAGATAACTCATTGAATGCTGCAAAGAAAAATACAAGTACTCAAAACTCAAACTTTGTCAGGGTTGTAAATTTCATCATATTAATAAAGATTTATGGACGATATAGCGTTCTAATTATATCAAGAACAGCTAAGAAAGTAATAATAAAAGTCGATTTTCACAGGACTCCGTTGAGTAAGCAAGATAAAATAAGAACTTGTAAGATTCTCAAGTTATACTGTCAAAATTGATGGGGCAATTGCTACAATAATCACGTACGAACAAAGTGGGGAAAATTACCAAATATAGCAAAGAAAGTTTAATGAATGGCCCAGTCGTTTGCTTCTTTATCAACATCAAGTAGTAGATGATTAGCTATAGCACTGCTCTCTAGATTGCGGAAGCTATCACTGAATTTCAAAAGTGAAAACTAGCACTGCTCTCCAGAAAGTGGAAACTAGCACTACTCTCAAGAAATCAAGTGA